GGTCCTGGGATTGAGCCCCACATCAGGGTCCCTGCAGGGAGCCTGCTTCTCCCTCTGCCTATGTCTCTGCCTCTCTCTGTGTCTCTCATGAATAAATAAATAAAATCTAAAAAAAAAAAAAAAAAACACCCCAAAACGAAGTCCTGGTTCATTCAACTGTCCCTAACGGTGGCAAACCAAGCCTGGCTGGACTCTAGGTTGCTCCCAGAATGCCTCAGCCACCGGGAACTGGGCGTTTCTCAGGAGGCACATCCACCCATGGTCTGGGGCCGACTCAGCCCTCCCACACTCTGGCTTAGGCCGACGGTCCGGGAAAGAACAGAGCAACAAACAGGGTCTGTGTAAAAGGGCGCATGCTCCGCGTCTCCTTTCTAACCCTGCAAAGCTAGGCAGCTTTTTCCTTAAGGTATGTTCTTTAAAAATTTATTACTTCCCACAGAGTAGAAAATTCTAACTGACAGCTAAATTTTCTGGGTGCCAACAAGACTACTTTGGGAAGAAAGAACAAAGTTTAGCCATGAGGAAAGTCCCTGGACTTCTTTCTCACATGGGAAAAAAAAAATTATGAGCTGAAACGACTTTGCATAAAATACTCTCTTGCACTGCTGAACACTGAACTCTTGTTTGCAGCTCTGTGCATCGTCCTCTCTTTGGTGATGTTCATCACTGTAATTACCGTGAACACACTGTTTTGTGTTCTGCGCTTTTCCTTACATATTTCTACCAACTTGCTAATTAATCCAATGTCCTAATTAACGGATGTGTGGGCTATTTCCAGTGTCCTTTGCAGTAAATCACTAGACCTATTACAGACTGAATGTCTGTATCCTCCCCAAATTTCTATGTCGAAGCCCGAGAAGCCCCAGTGTGATGGTTTTTAGAGGTGGGGCCTTTTGAGGTAACTAGGGTTACATGAGGTCCTGAGAGTAGGGGCCCCCAGGATGGGATTATTGTCCTTATAAGAAGAGGAAGAGACCAGGGAGCTCTCTGTCCACCACGTGAGGACACAGAAAGCCAGGAAGCGGGCTCTTCCTGGGAACTGAATTAGCTGGCACCTTGATCTTAGACTTGCCAACCTCCGGAGCTGGGAGAAGGACATGTCTACCGTTTAGGTCTCCCAGTCTCTGGTATTTTGTTATAGCAGCCTGAGCTGACGGAGACAGGATTCCAAACTGATATGAACAACTGCCAACTCTCTATTTGGCCCTTCACTCACTGGCTTCTGTGTTTTTTGTTAAGAGAACAGAAAGTGGGGACACGTTGGCGTCACGAAGGTCAGGATGCGTCACGAAGGTCAGGATGGATGGCGGGGGAGGGGAGTCACCTGCTCCTAAATCACTCTGCGGCCTCTGTAGGGTTCGGGGTGGGGAGACCTGTGGCGACAAGGATGGTGAGGGTAGGAGATACGCTGTAGACCTACTAACAGCAGGATAACTCCAGAAGGTGAACCAGGGCCCAGCTGCACAGTGAGGACACCCGGGTGGGGCTGCGCAGCCCAACGAGACCGACACAGCCAGAGTGAATGAGAAACCAAGCCCTTTCCTGAGAAATTCCCCACTGGGTTTCTTTTTCCCAACACTGTGTTTTTTTTTTTTTCATGTATAATGAATATATAGTGGTATAAAAGCTTCAGGCAAACAATATAATGTTTCAACAATTTTATACATTTCTCGGCGTTCATCACCGTTAAGTGTACTCTCCGGCCCTGTACTTTGGGAAATTCCAAACCTACAGGAAAATCGGAAGAATAAAACAATGAACACTTGTACGTCCTTCACCTAGATTCACCAGTTGTTAACATTTTGCCATTTTGCCATTCTCTTGCGTGGGCGTGTACGTGTAACTATTAGAATCATGACGGGTCCTCCCTGAACGTTTGGGCACACAGCAATCTCCCTAAGGACAAGGCCACGGGTCTACAGAAGCACAACGCCGGCATCACATGCAAGAAATTGAGCATGGAGACAACAAAATGATCTGATAACCGGTTCATTTGAAACATATCCCAGTTATCTGCAAGATGTTCTGTACAGATCTGCAGGATGCTCCGCACCCCCGCCCCAATCCAGAACCCATTCAAGGATCATGCATCGCGTTTGTCCGTCTTGTCTCTTTAGTTTTCAGCTGAGACAGGTCTCCCTGCCTCTTCTGTGTTTAGTGATACTGTGTCTAGTCGGTTGCTGACCAGAGAGAGGGAGGACCCGAGTGCCAAGCAGTCTGAGTTATGGCACCGACTTAACTCTAGTACTATTCGGGGGACCCTTGACCTTCACCTTGACCATGGTTTGAGAATCCTATGACATAGCCTGGCTGGAATCCACACCTCCATTAGATAAGAAGCGTGGCGATCCTAAAATCACAACCTACACATCACCAAAAATCACTGTTTCCTGGCCTTAAAAGGGACCAGCTCTTATTTTTGACTTTGTTGGCCATGAATCTTTGTTGGGGGGGGGGGCATGCCTGTCATGCTTGTGCCCACCCCGACACGCACCCCTAGGAGACATGACAAGAAAGAGGTTCTACTAATAGAGCTCTGCCCTCTGCTTAGCCTCCCCGACCTGGCCGGCTGATCACCCCCCATTTCCCCGTTTCTTCAGTGGCTGCCCAGTGTCTCAGCTCACTATGCTACTTTGTGCCGCAGCACCGTGGGGACCCTTCCCAGTGACCCGCAGCCGCAGTGGAAGGCTGCTTCCCTGGGCTCGGGATCCTTCTCAATAATCAGCTTTGTGAATCAGAGGCAGCAGCTGCCCTGGGCCTCCCAGGCCTGGCAGGGCAGAAAGATGATTGGATTAGAAGAAGCACCACTAGTCAGGCAAGGTGGCTGCCCAAACCCCCCCCCCCCGCCCCCACCCCTCAGCCTCATTTCCCCAGGGTCCTTCTACCCAATATGATAATCAGAAAAAAGCAGTGAGACCTGCTCTAGAAAATGCCCCTGTGCATTTCCAGATAATTTCTTAGCAGCTTCTTTCAGGGGTAATCTCTCCACTGGGAAGGCAGAGTAGTAGGAGACAGGGGTATGTGTCCCCCAACCCGGCACGTGACCCTAGGGCCTGAGGCTCAGCCATGATTTAGCATTTGCCAGCTGGAGTTGAGGGGGGAGCTCAGCAACTCAGCAAGGATCAGGGATCCAAACCCACAAGGGAAGGGCCAGAGTCCTGAGTGAGGATATGGACTTAAAAAGAACTCTTACACTGGGATGGTCTTGGGACAGGATGTGGCACGGGGAGTAGGGACACAAGACTCAACTCTCAGAGTCATCTGGCAGCTGCCCTGCACGTGAACCCCTCTGACGTGCTTTGTCCTTCCAAGCACCCATGCACCCCCACAGGAAGAGCGTCTTCCTGACAGAGGCAGATTGTGCTGGGGCTGCTCGGGACCAACAACATTGACCCCATCCCACCAGATCTCGAACTGTTGAGGGCCCACAGGCCTCATAGAAAGCCCTCTCAGGAGTGCTGTAACCCAGAGGATCAAGACCCTACTGAGCGCCACTAACAGGCATCGCAGACTTCAATCTAGAACTTGCTGCTAGGTGGGAAAGGGCACTGTGTAAACGGTAGGGCAGGGCTGGTTGAGAGCAAGTGGCTCCTGAGAAAGGCCCATTCCTCTCTGCTCTCCCAGGAGGCTGTGAGCGCAGGCAGGATCCCAAACCTGGGAGCGAACCTAACATATCAGCACAGGCCCGAACCCTACCTGCGGTCACCATGGGCCAGGTGAGCAGGAGCAACTGGGCCTCCACTAGAGCAGTCTGTCCTCCCTGGGAGGAATGCAACAGCCCTCCTCCGGCTGGTTAGAATCCACTCTAATGACACAATTAGTCACCCACTTGTCAAACAAAGCGCCTGCTCAGAGGGGTCCCGCACACTTACTCAGCAAAGAGAAAAGCCTTGGCCCAGCCTCACTGCCTTCTCCCCTCAAGGGTTCTCTGCAGTGTAAACCATTGTGTCCAGCAAAATTCAGTAGGGCGCTGTGGACACACGGACAAGGCACCAGAGCAGCTTGCTCATGGCTTCAACTGCTCCAGGCCTCCTCCAGTGCAAGAATCGGGGATTGGGAGTAAGAACAAGGCATTCTGATCCGGCGGACTCAGGGCCCTGGGTGGTAGCCTGTAGGGGTCAAGGGTGCTCAAATCCTGGAAATGTGGGTCCCATGCCTGGCAAGTAGGTTTCGAATGTGAAGAGAAGCCCTGGAAAAAGTGTATGGGGCCGGGGGGGGGGGGGTGGGGGGGGGGGGGGGGGATGAGTGCACATCTCTCTGGATGTCCTGAAGCCAGGCAAGTGGTCAGAACGGAACGGAGCTGTGATGGAGCTGATGATGGACCGTAGGGAGTGAGTGTGGGGCAGAAGCAGGAGGGGCGGTTTGGGGGTGCTCAGCCGGGCTGTAGGAGGGCTGTATCTTGCTCCTCTGCTCCATCCAGGCCAGGCTTATCTGCAACCCCAGGGGAAAAGTGCCAAAGCACGTGTGACAATAAAAATGCATTTGTGCCAGGCCTCTTCCGGCCGCCCCGCCCTATGCGCTTCCCACCCGAGACTGGCTCTGGAGTCTGGATTTCACACTGGCTTCCCAAGAAAAGGCAGCGTTCCTTTTTTTCTTTTTTCTTTTCTTTCAAAGTATGACTGTTTTTTCGTTATGGAGACAACTCTCATTACTGCAGACCTTGAAACAAGCCGCATGCACGTGTTTGCGGGCCGCCGTGGGCCGAGGGGTGCAGGGCGAGGGGTGGGTGTGCCCGAGCCGGGGAGCGGGGAGCGGGGAGCGGGGAGCGGACCCCAGCAGGACGCAGCACACAACTCACGCGGGCTCGGCGCTGCCGGCACTTCTGGGGGGAGGATGCTCGCGAGTTTGCTCGCGGGCTCGGCGCTCCCCGGGGCGGGGGCGGGGGCGGGGGCGGGGGCTGGGGGGGGCAGTGGGGCCCGGTCCCCGGCCCCGCCCGAGCCGGGGGGGAGGGGGCGCGGGCCCCGGGGTGGGGAGGGGCGCCCGGGAGGGCCGGGTCGTACCTGCCTGGCCTCAGCGGCCTGCTCCTCCGCCTCCGCCGGCGCCGCCGCGAGCTCCCCCGGGCCCTCGGGCTCCCCCGGGCCCTCCGGCGCGGCCGCGGGCTCCGGGGCGCAGGGGCCGGGCGGTGCGGGGGTCCCGCGGGCCTCGGCCGGGGGCGCGGGCTCCGGGCTGGCGGCCCCCCCGCGCCGCACCAGCAGCCAGGCGAGCAGCAGCGCCAGCGCCGTGGCCAGCGCGGGCAGCGCGGCCAGCAGCTCGGCCGGCGCCTCCATCGCGCCGCGGCCGCCCGAGTGCCCGCCCGCGGGGACCCCGAGGGAGCCCGCCGCGCCCCGCCCCCCGCGCCCCGCCCCGGGGCGGAGCCCCCGCCGCGCCCCGCCCCCCCCCGCGCCCCCCGCGCCCCCGACCCCGGGGCGGCGCTCCCGAGGCCGGAGGAGGCCCGCGCCGCCCCGCGCCGGGCAGGCCTGGCGCTTTGCGCTCAGTTTGGTCTTGGAAACCAGCTCGAAACGCTCTTTTCTCAGGCGCCCTTCGCTTCTGGTCACTTTCAGCATCATTTCCGCGCCTGCAGCCCTCCGGGAGCGCAGGCTGGGGAACGCGGAGGCCCCGACAGGCCGGGAAGGCTCACCCAAACCCTGGCACCCGACTGGCCTGTAAGACGGTGAACAGCGAACGTGAACCCCGCTTACTCTCGGCCACAGCATTTTTTGGGGGGGCGGGGGGGACACTTCCAGTTCCTGGCCGGCGAATGCCCCTTCCGGCCTGAGACCAGCAGCCTCCAACACGAGCCTCCCCGGAACGTGGCTGCCCCCCAAAGGCTGCTTTCTGGAATTCAGCTTCAAGGACCCCTACTGACTTCTCTGGGAGTAATCCTCCGTGTATGGGAGGGTGGAATGAAGGGAAGTTTACTGGTTTTGTTTCTCCAGATCCTTCCAGGGCTCTGTGGCTGAACACTGTGTTTGAGATAAATATGCTGTAACCAAAAAATTGTCTTTCCCATTTCCAGTAAACACAGGGCAAAGTTTGTCAGGTACCAGTTGAAAAAACAGGGTGCCAGTTTCTGCTTAGGATACATTTATTGTTTTTGGAAAAATTACAGTGCCTGAGCTGATAGCTGGTGTAAGCCAGGAAGGTAGATGGACAGCTGTTTAAGTGGAAGGCACCGGTAAGTGCTCAGGCTTCCTCTTGAGCTCCAGTTATGACTGCAGGCTTCCAGGAAGAGGGGGAGTTTGGTCCTGCTGCTCCACATCATAGTCAGGGGTGCCAGCACAAGGAATTTCAGTGGTGGTTCATGAAAAATGCCCTGTAGCTATAAAATGTGGAATGAGCTCCTGTCTTGGCTACGGCCTTTGCCCCCCACCCCCACCCCCACCCCCGGGATGGGGGTGACTTTCAGCCAAAGAGGGCCTTCTTTCCTGTCCCCTGCCTTCACTGTTTGAAAGTATACTTTTAAGGGGGCCCATTGTACTAACTTAGTTACATTCTGTATTCACTATCAGATGAATAATGAAAAGAAACAAGAACAAGGAAAAAAAAAACCAACTCCAAATCAAGTTGCTTTATTTAAAATGATGAACAAGTTTCATCCAAGTGAAAGTTAAAAATACCAATCAAATGGCAGAGCCACAGGCATCCAGTGGCGAAGCCCCCGGCGAGATGAAAGCAGGCGCAGCAGGCTGCTGGGTGTCTAGGTGACAGCTGTTAAGAGGCACAAGGACTCGGCACAGTCCCAATTCTTCTGCACTGTCCAGTCCCCTTGGAGACAGCAGGCCGGGCCAGTTCTCATGGGACATTCAGTGGGGGCTAGATGTCTCAAGTTTTTGAACTAAGGATGATGAGACAAAGTCAAGAGCCACCACCCAAGGGGGCTGGGGTGCAAGGTTCATCTCGTTTTGCTGTATATAATGTAACATCAGTGGAACATCTTGACAGAAGGCAGGGAGGGGGGAGTGTGAGGAGACACCAGACTCCACAGGAAACCATGAGCAGTACCCAGCACGCACATGACAACTTATTTGTGGAAACGCTACACACAATTCAAGGAACCTATAGCTGCGCACGTACACGCCTACGTCCTAGAAAGCACTTTTTACAACATTTACTGGAAAACTCCTATTCCATCTCACACTCTTGTCTAAAGTCCTAAATCATATCCAGGCTGAACCTCTAGTAACTTCATAAAGCATTTATACCAGCAACTTTCTTGCCAATCCTTAAATATCTTCAGCTAATTTAAAGAGAAACCAAACACTAAGCTGAGAACATAGCTATGATGTTAATTATGTTCTTTTATGAAGGTCTCATAAACCTGAATTTAGTAAGATCTGAACTTACTTTTCTGGTCGTGGAAATGGATGTGCCTGACTCCACTTACTCTGACCAGCGACCCTTGGGAACCACGCATGGCACACTCAGTCTTTCAGCTCCATAAGGAGGGGGACCTGGGCTTGTCACTGCTGCATCTCCAGCACCTAGAACAGTGCCTGGCACTCAAACACAGGTTGAATGCTTGGATGATTAGTAAGTGGGCATCTGTAAGCCTGAGCCAAACAGTAACAATGTCCCTGTTCGGTGGCTCTCCCCTCAAAGGTGTCACCCTGAATATCCCAGCACTACTACTGACCCCAGGGAGGCCTGTGTGCAGCCTGGATACTTCAGGATGATGATAAAGTCTTTGGTGCTTGTTCCCAAAGCCCAGAGCCTCCCCTGCCCCTCACCGTCTTCATGCACCCTGCTCCCTATCAGTAGCTACTGGTCCAAGAGCCCTTCTTCCAGGAGCCAACTTGTTGGTTTTCAGTTGGGAGAAGAATCCCTAAGAAGTTTCATGTTGTGTCCTTGCCCTTACTAAGCTGTTGACACCACTCAAAGGGGGAGCTCAGGCCAGGTGGGTTAAAAGGTTAACTCCAGAACAGATGGGCCCCTGGTTCCCATTTCCTACTTCATCCCCAGCATCCAGTCATCACGGCACTCCTCTCTCACGGTTTCCCCAACTCATCCCTGCTTTATTTCCATAATGGTGTGCTTGGCTGGGCCACAGGGACGATAAAAGGGGCCGGGGCTGGGGGGTGGGCAGGGGGGAGGTATTGAATCTCTGGCATAGCTAAAACAAAGACTGCCCTGCCCCATGGTCACTCACGGGGTGGTAAGAGCCGAATGGCAGCATGTAACCCGTGTGATCCAGATGCTTTCCGGTGAGGTGACTGCGGGCCTGTCAGATGGGCTGCAGCCCTCGTTTCTGGATATGGTTTGTCAAACAGGAACACCGTTGGCCTCTGGGGAAGGCTCATCTCTCCAATTCAAACTTCGAACCTCGGAATCCCAGCCACTGCAAAAGTGTCCTACCACGCCCCCTGGCGGCGAACGGCCTTTATATATATATATATATATATATTTTTTTTTTTTTTTTTTTCTTCTCTAAACTGAAGTTCAGAGAGAAGTTGGTATGGATTTGAGAAGGCGTGACAGCCCCTTAGCAATATAGGGAAAAGAAAAAACCATTTTGGAAGATGGCAAGAAAATTTGAAAAAGGAGACGGAGCAACACCATTGTTAACACAAAGAAATGATAAATTTGGGGTTTGACTTTATGCACACCCAAACAGACCCTGGAAGCAAGAGCCTGAGCCCCTGTAGCCTGGTGGGGAAGAGGAGAGCAGCACTTTGGGGCAGGTGACAGGCACCAACACCGATGAAGGCAGTAGATGTTTTCCATCCAATCTGGCCACACATCTGGATTGGCATTTGAGAACGCAAATGAGAACTGACTATGGCAAAATAAGGGATCAGCCTCCTAGAAGAGAGCCACGTGACTGAGGTAGTGTCATGAAATGATAATCAGTCTGTTAAAAATAGGACTTTTGCACAGAAGAGATCTGAATTCCCCAGATTATACCCATGTTGAGGGAGGAACCATACAACTCCAGGATGTCTGCACACACTCCTCTGCTCCTCCTGGACACTCCCCAGTGAGAGCTCCTGCTGCCCTCTGGCTGCTAATGCCTTTACCTACACTCCCACCCAGAACAGGACATGCTGCTCAGTCCTCTCCACTGGAAATATCCTTGACAAACCCCCCCTTACTTTTACTTAAATTTAGATGAATTTAGGGACCAATTAAGGCAAGCAGGTGAGTTGAGAGAGCAAGTAATGGAAACTGCTGGTCAATCCCAAGTATTCATACCAGAGTTATTAGAATCCTAAACAGATCCCAAAGACTAGAAGCACCATATATGGATTTATTTCCAGACATGTAGCACAAGCCACCCACCTCTCGTCTGCTGGTCAAACAAATAAGGGCACTAATCGTGAAGTCTCTTACAGAGAGCTCCTGCCTTATGGATCACATGGTAGGAAAGAACAGGACACATCTGTTAGAAGTTGGCCCTATTCATAATTTAAATTCTGTGATAAAACACACCAAACACCATTCCCATACTGTTCCTAAACAAAAACCCTGATATGTCATCCCTCCCCCAAAATACACTATACGAACACACTGCTTAAATTTAAGAGCCTCTCTGATGGTGGTGAGAAGGAAATGTGTCCAAAGACAGCGCTCGCAGCAGTGAGCGGCACTGCACTTGCTGGCTGGGTCACTGCCAGGGAGTGCGGCTTTGGGACAGTGACAGGGAAGTGGCACATGCGCAGCACTTTTTATGTGTAATTGGCTCACACACGACTCCAAGTCCACTCACCCTTCGGGGCCTGCTTGTGCACAGCCGGCTCTCGGAGAGCAGAGGTTCCTTACCCACGTCGGGAGGTTATCACACGCAGTGAGATACTCAAGGGATCTCAGCCCTGCAGCCTCGAGGTCGTGGTGTAAGGGAGACAGCATAGGCCTCCTCACCCAACAGCATGGCAGCCTTCAGTGTTTCGTGTTTCACTGAGCTTGCTGAGTTTTGACACTTCTTGACCATCTATTCTTAGTAAGCAGTAAAAACAGCATTTGACCGAAGACAGAAGCTTGGACCAGAGAAGGATTATCCAAATTCAAAGAAGACAAAGGAGAAGGTGGGAGCAGAAGACGTGAAAACTGAGTCAGGTGGCCGCCAACAGCGTACACAGGAGCCACCTCAGGGAGAGTCTCTTTATTTGCTCAGGGGTGAGCCCGGCCTCCACAAGTGTCCCTAATCCTGCCAAGGAAAGTACAACTGCCTGTAATCAGCATGTAGACAGCACAGCCGGTGCAAAGCTGGAAGGCAATGTTAAAGCAGAACCCCAGGACCCTGTGTGCAACTCAGGGCAGGGCTGTCCCTAAACCCTTTTCTTACACGTTACAAAGGCACATTTCGCCGGTGAGGGGAATTTATAACAGAAACATCTTTAAAAAGCAAGAAGAGAAATCTAACAACGGCTGTGAAGAGAACCGGGTTCAGAAATGCATAGTCTAGCCCCATCAATTCCTGTGACTAGGACACCTGAACTTCCTGCAGAATTCTAGCCTGACTGCGGAGAAAGAGGACAACGAACAGCAAGGCATGCAGGTCCCCAGCTTTCCTCAGACAGGTGAGAAAACAGCCAGCTGCACAGACACACAAAGAACACAGCAGGAACACCACCCGCGGCAGGCAGGCCAGGCCTTCAGACACTGGGAGCCGCACAAGCTTCAGTACTGAACACCTCCCGGGACCCTCCTGCTGACCGCCACTGCCTGGCACACTGCGGCTCGCACATGAGAAGGGGCTCTGGCTCCAGACCTCACTGTAAGCCCATCATGTACCCCTGCAAGGGCACATGCTGGCAGAGGGACTGCTTCACTAACTTTGTGAGTTTTAACTTATTTAGACCCAATCTGGTGCAAATCAAGAGACACGGGAGATGTGACAAAAACCTCCTATAACTGAGCTCTTCACGGCTGCCTCACTTGATGTGAGTGCTCAAAGCAACAATGGCAAGTGGGGGGAAAAGCAGGAGGCCACACCTCAGGCTCTCAGGAGACACCGGGTACCTTCACTTAGGCCGTAACCACCACTTCCCCATCGAGGGTACACACCAGTGGAGTCACTGCTTTCCCACAACACCACAGGGGAGGTTCTGGGATTCTCCAAGGACAAAAGTTTCAAGGATGTAAAATGGATTGAATTTTTATTAAATAACATTAAGGGTTTCCTTGGCACCATCCACATAGATTCTTGCCTTTATGCATAAAATAAGCCACATTACTTTGCATTGGTAGCAGAGAAAGAAGCTACTGCAGCAAATGCTAAGTGAACGGACTCCTATTCCGAGGGCATCCTCGTTCTCTGGCTTTCTCCGGCCCTCCCCTTGTCTGCAGCTTCAGAAGGCTGCCCTCCCCAGGGCCCTGCCCCTTGCTGGGGGCATGTCCTTCTACACAGACAACAGCCGTGCGTGGTCACCTGGAGGAGCTGCGTTCTTTGCTCACACAGTCATCCTGGGAGGTGGTGTCCCCATTTCCCATCATGCTGCACGTCCTCCGCTTCTTCCTGCGGTGCATTGTGCCATCACCTTCAGACCCAGACTCACACTGGACACGGGGGAAAAAAACAGGAACTCAATTAGATGCAACCCATTTTGTCTGTAAACATCCAACCTTGAGAGATAGCACAAATGCTGTCCGTGCCCTCCCAGAGTGAAGCGGCCATTTATGACAGCTCTGCAACACAGTCCAAATATCCATCTCCCTCTGGTGTTCCTCCCCAAACACTGCAACTTCCCTCAGGTGCCAGGTGTCTTTCCAGCAGTCTCCAACAGAGGGATTGTTTGAAATCAAGGCACAGGCTCTAAGAACATTTTACAGACAGCATTTGGAGATTGCATTGTGCACTCTGACTGCACCTGCACAGACCCCGAGTGGGGGAAGCAAGAAGTAACAGCATGTAACATTCACCCCCCACTTGCCCCCTGGCAAAACCCCAAATCAACCGATTATGCAAAGTGCTATGACAGGAATTTATTTCATCTGCTAAGGGCACAGGTTCCTCTTCCCCAATATGACGTTAGCTTCTAACAAGCCACTGAATTTGCTGAGCTGCCAGGCTTACAACTGACACCCACAGGGACGATTCTCAACATGAGCTTTGAGGTGACAATGCTCCAAGTTCGAATCCCCATACTGCCGTTCACAAGCTATGTGATGCTGGGCGGTTCACTTAATGAAATCCCCAAGTACTCCTTTTACCTCTTGAGGCTACTGCAAGGATATGCGAATGCGTGCACACACACAAGGCTATAATACGGCTAAAATTCACCATGTGGCAGAGATGGTGGCGGTTGAAGTTCTTGGAAGAAAGCGGAAAACGTTCACGCTTTTCTCCTTCCCAGACAGGAGGGAGAGCCACCACCACTGGTTTTTCCTTTCCTTGCCCCAAAGGCCTGGAAAGGAAGCAAGGCCTCACCTCGGAGTCCGAGTCCGACGAGCTGGAGCTGGAGGAGCTGGAGGAGTCACTGGAGCTGTCCGAGGCAATTCCTGTGGATTCCTGAAGGTCAACAGAGTCGGCCAGGACCGCCAACTCGGGGTGCTCTTGCTTCAAGATCCTGAGAGACAAGAAACATTGTTCCCAGTGCTGGGACGGCAATGAAGCCCGCGCACAACAACCCGGACTCAACGCTGAGGCCTGTCTCTCTCAGAAGCACCTGGGAATGTCAGGTGCCCTGGCTCAGAATGGGTGCTGGACAGTGGTGAGGACACACGAATCCACAGGCTGGGAACAAAAGCCCTAAACATGCTGCTCAGGCTTTTCTGAAAGGCAAACTAGCTGCACACAAGTTACTACGACCTTCGCATAGGAGCCAGCCGTGCTGCCAACGTGTGAGGCAAAGTAGCCCTGAGTTAGTCTTATTTTATTTTCCCCCCACCTGGGAGAAAGAGTCTCTCTTCCTTGTTGTTGTTTTTTTTCCTGAACCTTTCCTAGCTGATTTTTAAAACCCTTCCTTTCCACGACACAGTGCTGAGTGACTGCAGTTGGGCTTGGTTAAATTCTATTCGTAGGAGTAGCAACAATTAGGTTTGTGAGAAACAAGAAGTGCCAAGCAACAGAGAGGGTCCCCCTCATTTGAAGATAAAACTGAACTGGACTTTCAGAGGCAGCAGCCCTCCCCTTAGGGACCTGATTTGGCATCCACTCTAACCAGGGACAAAAGACCAGCTGTATGGTTAAGGCCTTTAAAATGACCCTATCACAGCACACAGCGGCCTATGGGATGGAGTAAGTGGGCCTCAGGTGCCCGACAGTCCGGGGAGAACAAAGCCACCACCCTTGCTGGCCCTCTCAGCAGGGAGGCTGAGCACTGACCAAGCCAGGATCCCTCTCTTACCCCGAGAGCTGGTCCCTCCAGGTCAGGGTTGGGACACAGTGGCACGGGGTGGCTGGGGGTGGCTTGCACTGCCGCTGCCCGTGCTGTATCTGTTCTGTGGATAAACAGAGGAGCTAAGTCTCCAGGGCAGTCACCTCACTCACAAGAACTGAAGGTAATAAGTTCAAAGGGGGATAATGCTTCTGAGTAAGAAAAAGAACGAACCAAAATAAAACCCAAACAAAATGGCTTCCTTTGCTAGCGCTAGCTTTGGGGAAAACAAAACAAAACCAAAGCAGAAAACAAAAAAGAAACAGAAAATGAGGACCAATCCCAATTATGACCACGTTTTGACTGACTGATCAAACATGCAGAGTCTTAGCCTGTCACACCTCGAGGCTGGCAAGCATCCTGAGAACTAGTCCTGACCTTGGACCCACTCTCCTCTGCCCGTGAGCTTTTGTAGCCCAGCTCTCCCAGGCCTAAGATCAGCACACGTTACTGCAGCAGTGGACTCCTTCCACTTCACCTCTGGGGTAGGAATCGGAACAAAGCAGAAATGAGAAAAAAATGTTTCTCACCTATACCATTTCCTCGATAACTTTGGTCTCCCTCTTACCGTCTTGTGCCATACAACAGGGAAATTGGTGCTGCTGGCAAAATTCTGGGTGATGGCAATGGTGGTGTCGAGATTAAGGACGACGTGCCACCAGCCTCCTGAAATCCAATGAGGAAACAGTTAAGCAGGGTTTGGGTCCATACACAACCACAAATAACATAAGCTTCATGAATAGAAGATTCCTATCTATAGGTGAGATGAGTAGACACTCAGAAACATCAGACCCAGAGCGGTCAATGGTTCTCCTGATCCAGGAATCACAAGCAATTTATATAAAGTTCTACTGGAGCACAGCCATGCCTGTTCATTTCTGGACTGTCTACGGCTGCTTTTCTGCTCCACAGGCAGAGCTGAGCAGTTGGAACAGATGCTGTCTGGTCCACGGTGCTTAAAATATTTACTCTCTGCCCTTCACAGAAAAAGTGTATTGACCCCTTTTAATTCAAAACGGTGATCAAAACTGTAGAGGCAGCAAGTTCTTTGGCTTCTAAGAGGAGAACACCTACCTCCTATAATACCAAATAGCCTTGTGGGGCACTGGGTGGCTCAGTGGTTGAGTGTCTGCCATTAGCTCAGGTTGTGATCCCAGGGTCGTGGGATCGAGTCCCACACTGGGCTCCCTGCAGGGAGCCTGCTTCTCCCTCTGATGTGTCTCTGCCTCTCTCTGTCTCTCATAAATAAATAAATAAAATCTTAAAAGAAAAATTGAATACCCTTGCTCTTAACACTTAATCTACCAAAACTAACAGTTTTCAAGTGTGGGACTTGCTGCACTGGCCCCAAGTTATTTCCTGGCTCAACTGGCCAGTGCCACACTGTATTGAAACTCAATTTACAGAAATATGCACAAGTCACTGCACATCCACAGGGACACCAGAAAACTGCTAGGCATAAAAATGAATATAATCCTCACATAAAGTTTATCAATAGGCACCGTATCTGCAGGTTACAAGAAAAATGGACAGTAGCCCCCTAACCACTTGACAACACAGCAGCACATCACTGTCCAAGCTCGGCATCAGGGAGTTCATTAAGAATCAGCATGCAGATGGACTTGTTTGACTCCTTCTATATAGACCCTTGTGCCCCCAAATGACAAAAAAAAATGAAATCAACGAATGTACTTCCTCTCATTTCCTCTATACCTGGTACAAAGACAGTCTCTCCTGGTTTTTGTAAGATTTCCAGGGGTTTGAATTCAGGTGGCCAAGTAGGAAGCTGTGTCCGGGGATGAATGATACTAAACCAGGTAATGGCTTCATCTTGCTGGTTCCCTCCTTCTTCACGGGTCACCTTGATGAGCTCCCTAGGCGTGCTGGTAGGAAACAGGCACCAGCGCTTGTGGCCCTGAACTAAGGCATTCCAGGCACTGGTTCCCAGAGGGTCGATGTGAATTCCAGTTCCAGAGCGTGGTGGCCCCATCACAAACCACCTAAGGAGTAGAAACAACCAAGATACAAAGAATAACTTAACTGTTCACATACTACAAAATCACAAGTTCTTAGTTCTATATCTTGTGCTTTTTTTTTTTTTTTAAGATTTTATTTATTAGAGAGACAGAACACAGAACAAGCAGGGGGAGAGAGAAGCAGATTTCCCACTGAGTGCAGAGCCCAATGTGGGGCTGGATCCCAGGACCCTGAGATCATGACCTGAGCTGAAGACAAGTGCTTAACCAACTGAGCCACCCAAGTGTCCCCAATGTGCTCTTTATTTCAGGTACTACAAAAATCCTGCTACGCAGAAACGCTGAATGTCTGAAATGCTCCATAACAGAAAAATGAAAAAAAAAAAAATCACCGATGTGGCTTATTACCGCTGGTCTTTAACTATTAAAACTTCCCTCAAAGATCAGTGTTAGTTTAACTTTGGTTGCACGTTTGAGTCACCTGGGGAGCCTTCAGAAATCCTGATGCCCAAGTGGCAACCCAGACCAGTGAAACCAGTCTGTGGCTGTAGGACCTGTGCAGGCAGCAGTCACCCCCCTAAATAAGCTTCATGTGCAGCCAAGGAGAACCACTCACTGCTATGGAGAAAGATCAGCTGACTGAGCTCAGGTGACACACACTAAGTTAGACTTGTACGTTAGACTGTAACGGCCTCACTGCCAGGTAACTTCACCTGTAAGGCGGCCTGCGTTTCTCCCCAGCATACTGGAAGAGGTCATCGGTGAAAAACTTGGGCACTTTGTAGTCCTCCAGAAGTTTCCTTCTTTTAGGGTGTTCACCGTAGCTGCTGTCAAAGATGTAGAGGGGGCTGTCATCCCGAGTGCTCTCCATGTACTCGATGTAGTATTTCATCTTCATCTTCACGGAGTAGCCGTCATTATCCTCGCCACACTTGAACTTCTGGTTCCGGTACTTCCTTTTCAGGCGCTCCAGGGTCCACTTCTCCTGCGCAGACCAGCCCTCTTGGGCGTTCAGCAGAACCACGGGCTTGTAGGGTCGTTCATAGCGCTCCACAAATTCTTCCACCGACAGCTGTAAGGCGTCTGCCCTTTCCACGTTATCCTGAGAGAATCAGAAAAGACCTATCCAGTTAGAAAAAAAAAAAAAAAAAAAAGTCCAGCGGCAGCAAAGGGCGTCCCCCAGGATTAATTAGCAGTGACATACCTAAGGAGCCAGATTCTGGTTCTGGCTTACCTTGGGGACGTGGAGGGGGGCGGGGAGGCACAAGGACCTGCGAGAGGACTGACACGTCGCACCCAGCGCCCCCCCCCAGGGGAAACGGCTTCTTATCTCCCACTCGTGGGCCTCCACGGCCAACGGGGTCAGCCTCCGGGCGGCCGGGCGGCGGCGCGGGAGGAAGGGGGCCGCCCTGGAACCCGGGCCCGAGGACCCCGACCTCCGCCGGGCGCGGGCGAGCCCCTGGGGACCCGGGGCTGCCGCGCTGGGCACCGGCGGGGGGCGGGGCGGGGCGCAGCCGTCCGGAGGTGCCCGCGACCCCGCCACCCCGCGACCCCGGCCCACTCACCGCCACGGCCGCCGGGTTCAGCGAGAAGCTCTCGTAGTAGTTGTGACGGGTCCAGTCCAGCGAGTCCTTGAGCTCCGGCCGCGCACTCCGCTTGGCCTCGCGGATGCGCTTCTTGCTCTTGTGGTTCATCCTGCGGGGGGTCCCCAGCTGCTCCCGCGACGACCTCGGAGCGCCTCGCTTCCTACTTGCAACGCGCCCCCTCCCCGACCCGGGCGGCGGCGGCGGCGGCGGCGGCGGCGGCGGCGGCGGCGGCGGCGGCGGCGGCGGCGGCGGCGGCGGCGGCGGCGGCGGCGGCGGCGGCGGCGGCGGCACCCAAACGCCCTTCGCTCCGGCCTGGCGCCTTTAAAGTCGCCTTCCAGAAAATTCACTCCCCAACCACCTCCCGGGCCTCGGGTTGGGCACGCGGCTGCCGTCTTCCCCGCCCCCCGGCCTCTCGCGGTGAGCCATTGGTCCGCGCGCCTCCGGGGTCCGCCCTCACACTCGCCGGCTCTCCGCCATGTTGGGAAGGTCGCGCCGAACGAGGAGCCGCCTCACGGCGGCCCCGCCTCTCCCGCGCCCGCTTCCGGTCTGCGCGTCACTTCCGGAGGCGAGGCGCTTCGCCGGCGGCCCGTTTCCGGCGGGCGAGCGGCGGAGGCCGCCTGTCTTCCGTGTCCGTTTTGCCTGGCGTCCCCGTGTCTTCTCACCGCGTGGCCGCATCCCCGCCCGAGGGCTGCTTTCCCCGCCCTTCCTGTCGAGTTGCCCCGACCCGACGGGGGCTGCGAAGGGCCACGTGGCGCCAGCGAGACGGCCCCAGCCGGCCTCGGGGTTTCCCGCGCGCGCAGCCTGGCAGCCCGGCGCTCGTCGCTGCTCCGGGCCGGCCCGGGGGCCCCCGACTCCCCGCTGGGCGAGCGTGACCTCCGAGGGCATGCGGCCCGGGCCCAGCGCTTTCGGTTCTCGGAGGAGCCGGGCCTGGGGGCAGAGGGGGCCGTGCTGGAGGTCCGCGTCCCGCAGGTGCGTGCGGCGGGTGCCGCCGGGGGGCGCCTCGGGTCCTCTGCGGGGGCGCCGGGGCGGGAGCGGGTCCAGCCGACCTGGCGGCGTCGGGAGGGTTGGGGCGATGGTCCTCAGGGCGGGGAGGTCTGCGGTGTGAAGCCCTTGGCAGTCTCCTAAGTAAGACACTTGGGGGGGCCCTGCCAGAAAAGGGGCATTTGGACACCAAACTTCCTTTGGTCTTGTTAAAGGGCTTCTTTTTTTTTTTTTAATTTTTATTTATTTATGATAGTCACACAGAGAGAAAGAGAGAGAGGCAGAGACACAGGCAGAGGGAGAAGCAGGCTCCATGCACCGGGAGCCCGACGTGGGATTCGATCCCGGGTCTCCAGGATCGCGCCCCGGGCCAAAGGCAGGCGCCAAACCGCTGCGCCACCCAGGGATCCCTTTTTTTTTTTTTAATTTTTATTTATTTATGATAGTCACACAGAGAGAAAGAGAGAGAGGCAGAGACACAGACAGAGGGAGAGTTAAAGGGCTTCTTAGTTCGGCCTTACCAAGGATCGGAGAGTCCACCCTCACTGTCCAAATAGTTTCTTGGGCCGACCGTCACTTGCTCCTTTCAGCTCTCAGCTGCCCCCAAACTCTATAATCAGTAATAATAGAAGTAATACCTTACGCATCCGGATTTTTAAAGTATTTGGAGGTAGCAGTGTTTCGACTTTAACAGCAGTCTAAGAGGGAGGCATGAGCAGAAACCATTTAAAGACCAAAAAAAACAAAACAAAACAAAAAAACGCCTAAGAGGAGGTGAAGTCTCAAGCGAAAACCATTTCTGGTGTTTTTTAAATGCCTTCGTGTTGAAATACCCCACTGGGATCTCTTTCCAAGTTTAGGAGGTGGAAATATTCCCTGTGAGAATAAAGACCCTTTTACACCCAAATCTTGCAAACTCGCTGCTTTGGTTAGAAATCCTTTATTGTATCTGGGGTAAAAATCTACCAGGGCAGGCGTTTTATTCAGGCTGCACTTGCTACACTTAGTACCGGTACCCATGCACTAATTTTTTTTTTTTTTTAAGATTTTTATGTATTTATCCATGAGAAATGGAGAAAGAGAGAGGCAGAGACACAGGCAGAGGAGAAGCAGGCTCCCCTAAGGCCGGGCTGGATCCCAGAACCCAGGGATCGTGACCTAAGCTGAAGGCAGATGCTCAACCACTGAGCCACCCAGGTGTTCCAGGGCACTAATATTTTTGTTGAGTGAGTTGACTGCTTGAATTTGGACCTTCAGTTCCTTCGCCTTTGATGCTTTTACCACTTCAGCGGCCTTTCCAACCAATCCACTAGCAGCACCCTCTGCTCTAGAAAACGGAAAGACTCGGCAGTTTTGCAGTTTAAAAGAACCGCTCACCTTGACTGTTTTGTGCCGGGTGCTATATACTAGGTTAGCACTGAGTCTTCCAAGTCACCCGAGGAGATAGTGTTTTGCAGGTGAGGAAACAAGCATAGACAGGGTGCAAGTCACACAGCTAGTAAGTTACACATCCAGCGCTTGAACTCAGGCAGGCTCATTGCCAAGGTGTGAGCCGTTTTTTTTGCCTCCCTAAATACTGTGCCTTCACGATTCTCTCCAAAGGCTGTGTAAGCTGCCTGCCTTCCTGACTCCAGGACTGAGCTGCACTCAAACTTGTTGAAAGTCTTCCCAGCCTCATTCTCTCTCATTAGCATACCAAACCAATGCTTGATTATAATAAGCCCCAGGTACATTTTTTTTTTTAATATTTTTTTCATGAGACACAGAGGGAGAGAGCCAGGCTCCCCGCAGGGAGCCGATGTGTGACTCAACCCCGGGACTCTGGGATCATGCCCCCAGCCGAAGCAGACGCTCTACCACTGAGCCACCCACGCGTCCCTATACATTCTTAACTGCCTTACAATAAAAGCTGAACTTCCCATGGCCTGCAAGACCCCACTGGTCTGGTCTCTGCCTTCCCTCTGACCTACCACAACCCTGCCTCCCTGCCTCCAGCAGTCGGCGCCCTCTGTGGTCCAGCCAGAGACTTTTTTAGTTCCTGCTTCAGGGCCTTTGCCTGTATCATTCTCCCTATCTAGGACAGCCAGCTTGTGGTCACTGTCTCCCCACCCCTTCCTGCCCCCACTATCTCACATCACGTTTTCGTGTTTGTTAGCATTATCACCAACGAAGAATGTATTTGCTTACTTATGGCTTGTCTTTTCCCAGTAGGATGTCTATTCTACGAGCCTTACACCCTTAACCTAAGTTACATCCTTAGCCCACTAAACCACTCAAGTCCCTGGATGAATGCTTGTTGAACGAATGAGGGTATGAAGAGTGCTTATCACAGGGTATTGCAGTTTCATATACCTCCTGGGATGTGAACTAGAGAGCAGGGAACTGTCATTTTTGTGATAGATGCCAGTGTTGGGCATTCTAACTGTAAAATATTCCAGCTGCCAGCAGATGAGTTATTTTTGGCATTCAAAAAATTCTTTTCAGGTCCTCCATCTCCAATATGGGATGTATGTTTGGCCCTGTGCGGTGGTCCTGGCTCAGTACCTGTGGTTTCACAGAAGATCTCTGCCGGGCAAGGCTGTCTTAGAGGTACAAGTGCTCTTGAGGTTTCCTGAAATCCTGTTCAGATTTAAGTCTATGTGCTTGTTACTTTTGTTTAAATATTTTTAAATTGGGTGATTTGACCAACTTGTAAGTCTTGAGTGAAGAATGCTTTTTACATTTTAGGTTGTTTAAAAAAAAACATGTACCAGAGACCACAGGAGTCCCATCGAGACTAAAATATCTGGCCCTTTACATTATGCTGACCATTATTCCAAGTGAAGCCCATTGACTAATTTTAGTTCTAGAATCTTGGCATGGAAGCAGTCATTAAGGCAATCTTTCCAGGGTGACCCAGTAGGGTAATTGGGGGGTCTGTGACACATGCAGTTTCTTATAAAGTAGCCTTTTCCATTTTTGGAAATCTTGAGTATCCCAAGCTTTCTCTCACTCCACCTGACACGAACCTGCTAACGGGTTGGAGAAATTGTCAAGTTTGCAGAAACGGTACAAGACTTAAATCTGAAGGCTGAGGATAAATCCAAAACTTAGTAACACCTCAACTTTTGCAAAACCATGTGAATAAATGAGCAGTGTGAAGGCACTTGGTGCACTTTTGGCCTGAATATCAGTGGCAGTTTATTTTTTACAAGACTTTACTTATTCATTCATGAGAGACATTGAGAGGGGCAGAGACACAGGCAGAGGGAGAAGCAGGCTCCACACAGGGAGCCTGATGTGGGACTTGATCTCGGGTCTCCAGGATCACGCCCTGGGCGGAAGGCAGGCACTCAACCACTGAGGCACCCAGTGATCCCCCATCAGTGGCAATTTGGAGAGAAGATTGAGAATCTCTATGCTTATCCTCAGAACTGGAAAATGGGAAGCTTATGTTTTAACCAGAGACAATACTTAATAAAGGCATTCTTTGGTTACTCCTTAGTCACTTTGAAGGCCCAACTAGAAAATCCCTTGTAGGAAGCCATGTTGCAGACCTGTCAAGTTATAGCCACATAAAAGCAGTTAAAATTGGTAGTAACAACCATAATGGCCAGGTGTGCAATGCAAGTCACTCATCAAACCTTGAGACCCCATGTCCTATAATTAGGAGCTCCTTTATAGACAGCTAAGAGAACTGAAAATGACAGAACATGTGTCCCAAACTACCTAGGGCTTACTAAGCAATTAAGCTGCCAGATACAGACTTTGAAAGCGATACTGTCAGTTGCAGAATACAGGGCCCTGTATGGGAATTAACCTTCCCAGCCAATTAAGAGGAATCCCCCCAAGAAGTTCTACAATTGAAAAGCTTAAGCTTCATCTAGTAAAGCAATACTTCATTGTGGCACATTTTATAGATTATGACAAGCTCCTCATGGACGCTGTACTTAGGCAAACTAAGATCCTAAATTCCCTGAAATGCTAAGCAGGACTTTGAAATGCTAGCCTTTAATAAATTTATTAGATTGGAGCTGGAGTGAGCCTTCCAGGAATTATGGCTGCAAAATGTGGTGCTGAAGTAATCCTGTCAGACAGTTCAGAGCTGCCTTACTGTCTAGAGATCTGCCGGCAAAGCTGTGAAATGAATAACCTGCCACAGGTGCGTGTCATTGGACTGACATGGGGCCATGTGTCTCAGGATCTTCTGGCTCTACCACCACAAGATATTATTCTTGCATCCGATGTGTTCTTTGAACCAGAAGGTAATAAATCTTTTTTGGTTTTCAATAGTACATTTGGCTAAAGAGGTGATATGTACAAGTCCATTTAAGGAGTTCTCTCTTCCCAGATTTTGAAGACATCTTAACTACAGTCTACTTTCTGATGCAGAAGAACCCCAAAGTCCAACTGTGGTCTACTTACCAGGTGAGAAGGTAAGCATCATCTTGGTTTACTCTCTCAATTTTATTAAAACTTTAAGGACAAAATGAAAATGTATCTGAAGCAAAACAGGAAAAGCATGATTTTAAAAAAACAATTTATTTTTTTTTCTCAGTGCTGACTGGTCACTTGAAGCTTTGCTCTACAAGTGGGATATGAAATGTGTCCACATTCCTCTGGAGTCTTTTGATGCAGACAAGGAAGATATAGCAGAATCTGCCCTTCCAGGAAGACATACGGTTGAAATGCTGGTCATCTCCTTTGCAAAGGACAGTCTCTGAATTACCACCTACATACAGGCTGTTCTGGGATGACGTCAATACTAATTAGCAACCTGGCATGCCAACTAGACTCAGACCACTTTAACTTCTTGGGCGTACAAAAAAAAAAAACAACATTGGATTTGAAGATGGTCCAGATCTGTCAGCCTTAAAGATTGTGATGGGTCACCTAGACAACACTTGTGGGTTACAAAGCCATGAAAACAAAAATTAACACGCCTGTAAGAAAACAAAAAACGACTTGGGCTGTTCTTTAAAAAAATAAAAAAAGGCCATAAATTAAGCTAAGAAGGGAGTATCCGTATCCACAACCTCAAGGGAAGTGCTACCCTAGAGCATGGATTTTATGGGTTATGGGTGCTGAAATGACACTTCCACTTTAACTTAAGGGGAAAAAAAAAGTCAACTACTAAACATTTCACCTTCATACTGTACAGTCAGTAACAATTCACAAGGTAAAATTGCACAGGTCACAGGTCTTTCAAATAAAGGGAGGGGGAAAAAAGACCAAGACATATTCTGAGAAAAGCTAACACCAAGAAAACGTTTTAATTAAACTACAGAAACAATGGTTATAGTACAGAATTTTCATGAGCAAAAAGATACACCATGTTATAAGTACTTACAAAGTTACAAACCATTTTGCTTCCTTAACATTTTCCATATTTTAAGTTCATACATGAAGATGATCAGATTTACCATTTTGGGGGTAGGGGGGAAAAAAAGGTGTATTTATCATCAGCTAGATGTGCTCACTGTATGCTCCGTTATTTATATGCAAGGCCCGGGTGACTGGAAGTGCAGTTGTCAGGCATTTTAATAAACTGGACAGCCATTTGTTTCTGCACGACAAGGCATCTTTACACAGGAGCAATCAGGAGAAAACAGGAAACAGCCAAGCACTCTGCACTGCAACACGCCACCTTAACAGCTAACCAGCATTACTCAACTGCTACACAACTGCGCCTAGTGCACAAAAATACACAAGAGAAGAGATTAGAATTGTGTTTGGTAAACAATCCTTTCAAAAAATCAAGTCTTTTCACCTGAAAAGTCTTTATACAAATTTGGGTTCAGATTACCATTTAGATCTGAAGGTAAATAACATATACAAACAAATTTACACCGACTTTTGTAGGTTTTTAATTTTAAGGAATGAAGGCAATGTTGAGTCAATCTCTTGACAGCTTTAGGCTGTGTGTAATGGCTGCACACGTTTCCTTAAAAGTCAGGAGGCCACAAATTAGGTTACCAATCTGTTTAATTTCAAACAAAAAAAGTCAGCACTATATAAACAAAAAGGAAAATTTACCTCAAATATCCAAGCCAATAATGAAATCTGAAGTCGTTCACCTCACTAAATTACAAGAAATTTGAATAACAGCAACAAAATGGCACATAAAATGAAGCTTGCCACCTGAGGCAAAGCTTAAAACAAGTAAAAAGTTAGACAAAATGTTACAAAATAACCTTTTCAATAGCCAGTTGCTTGTTCCAAGGACTCTTCGATGGACTGAGTGTGTGGTCCTTCTCCCCCAAGTCTTCTGTTATGTTGCTTGTTGACCCATCTAGGTTTGAAAAGAGAAAAGTTCAGTTTACCCTCCATTACTGTGAAGTGACTGAAAGTGCACATGGTTTCAGTTTCAGGCATGTACTTACTAAGGCTCTGGTGAAACAAGTAGGTTACGGAAAGGTTCCACCCAGCCATTATCAGTTTTTTAAAGGCCCAATTAGGAAATTTTCACAAAGGCTACCATCCGCTTTTACAAATTTGTGTTTATGCAATCTTGGCCAAATAACCAAGGTGAAAAATGAGAAGGGAGGGAAAAAGGAAAAGGGGGGAAAAAAAGAAAAAAAAAAAAAAAAAAAAGAAAAAGGACGGTATCCAAACAAAAACAACTTGAAATCAGAAAATCAGTCTATTTTAAGATAAATCTTTAGTTTTCAAATGAAACATTTGGCAATTGAGAATATCTGAGCTACTTAGGGCCCTTTCCTTTTAAAAAATAGGACCAAACAATTTGAGAGTTAAAGACACACTATCCTTTCCCCACCCAGTGCAATACCTGTAAACTTTTTTGGGGTTCCGAAAGTTCATTGCTTCTTTTTTGCAATTCGTTTGCCACATCCGTTAGAATATGAAGTCCCAGTCAGTACAACAATAGTTGAACTGATCGTTTTCGCTAAGAGGATAGTGCATCTTTAACATTTAAAGACAAACCTGCTCCAATACACGCCCACAGAAACTGGTCCCTGGAGGATCAGCCAAATCAGTTAAAATCTGCAATACTGGCCAATATTCTTTTATCAAACAGGAGACCGCAGCTTTAAAGGGGAAAATGCAGACGTTGGATAAAAACAGCAAGAAATAGTCATTTTCATTAATAGGTCTCAAACAGTTTACGAAACAGCCATTAATATCTAAGCTTTATGCACATCCTCTCTGCAGACCCCTCTCTTCAGTATTACTCCCAAAGCTGAGTTAGCTCACAGCCGCACTCCCGACACCAGGAGCCGCTTTACATTAACACGGATCATAACAAGCTCCTGCACACCCCATCTGAGTTCGAGTCCGTGCGTCTCGGATCCCCATTGACATTACCATTCGCTTAAGAGGACACCGCTCCTTCCTCCTCGGGAGACTTGGGGGGGCTCTTGGAGCGCGACCTGGACTTGGACTCCCTCTTGGACACGGGCGGAGGACTCCGGGACCGGGAGCGGGACCGGGAGCGCGAGCGAGACCTGGACACCGACGACGACTTGGACTTGGACCTTCGCGCCGACCTGGACTTGGACGTGGACCGCGACCTCGAGCGAGTGCGGGAGCGAGACTTGGAGCGGCTGTAGCGGGAGCGGCTGCGGGACCGGGAGCGGCTCCGACTCCGGGAGCGGCTGCGGCGGCGTCGCCGAGGGCTGCGGGCGGGCGGGCGGGCGGGCGGGCGGGCGTCAGTCAGGGCGGCCATCGGGGCCAGGGCCGCGCCCCGCCCGCGTGCTGCGCCCGCCCCGCCGCCATTACCGCGCCGCCCGGGCGCCATTTCCCGGCCGCCCGCCACGGCCCCGCGCCCGCCGCGCGCCCGCCCGCCCGCCCGCCCGCCGCCGCCGCCACGTGTCCGCGCGGACCTTTGTGCCCCCGGCTCGCTCACCTGCGGCTCCGGCGCCCGTAGCCCCCGCCCCCGTAGCGGCGGGGCGGCGGGCCCCGGCGGCTGTGGTGCGAGTCCGGCGGGCGGCCGTAGCGCGCCATCTGCACCCGCAGCTCGCGGCCGTCCAGCACCGCCCCGTCCATGGCGTCCATGGCGTCCTCGGCGTCGCGCTTGTCGTGGAAGCGGACGAAGGCGAAGCCGCGGGACTCCTTGGTGTAGCGGTCCCGCGGGATGTACACGTCGCCGACGCGCCCGTACTTCTCGAACACGCGCCTCAGGGTGTCGGGCGAGGTGCGGTAGGTCAGGTTGTCCACCTTGAGGGAGGTCATGCCCTCCACATCGGGAGGCGGGCGACCGTAACTCATGGCTCTGGAGCGCCGGCCGGGGGCCGCGACTGCGCGCCGACCAAGTAACGCCCTGGGCGGGCCCGCGCGCTCGGCTGAGGCGGCGGCTTCCCCACACTAGCCCGGCTCGACGCCGCGCCTCTGGCAGCAGCTGGCTTCCGCGCGGTTGGGAGGCTGGTTGAGGCCGGACCGGGCGCGGTGGACGGAAGCAGGCGAGCGAACCACCGCGGCCGCCGACGCCACCACAGAAACAACTGGGCGGGCGGCCGGCCCTGGCGCCCGTTTATATCCCTCCTCACAAAATGGCGCCCGCGCCACCCGGAAATGAATCCCCTGATTGGCTCGCCCCTCCCCGCCCCGCAACTGCGCGGCCACGCGCCCCGCCCCTGCCCGACGCGCCTGCGCAGAGCCCGGCGGGCGGGCCGAAAAGCGCGGAGTCACTGTGGCCGGGAGGGGGGAGCGGAATTTGCGGGCAGTTGGAAAGCCCGCGAAACGCTCTTTCCGGCTGCGAGGCCGCACGGGCGCTGTTCCCGCAGGAGGAACAGGAAGCGCTCCCCTTCCAGGCCCCGCCTTCTTTTCATGGCCGTATCCGAGCTCCACGCAGCTTTTCTGCTCGGGCCTCCGCAGCAGGTTCCCGCCCCTACCAGAGGGGGTACTTCTCCTCCCTCCCCGCCCCCCCCCCGTTTGTCCCGCGGTCTCCAGGGTTCTCGGACCCCGCTACAACGTCGCCGGGCTCCCTCCCCGCGCTTCCCCACTCCTCCGCCGGGTTCCGCTTAATAGCCCCTCCCTCGCTGGGGCGCGCGGGCTCGGCCCCGCTCCCCTCCTCACGGCGCGCCTGCGTGCCTCGGGCGGCGCGGGACTACATTTCCCAGCGGGCCGAGCGGCGGGCGCGGAGGCTGCGGTCAGGTGACCGGGTCGCCTGACCCGCGGTGAGTCAGGGCCCGCCGGGCGGGCGGGGCCGCGCCGGCCGCTGCACCTCGTCTCTGGCCCCCTCCTCCGTCGGGCAGGCCCTTCCACCTGGAGCCGCGAAGTGGTTGGCGCGTCTCGGGGCGGCAGGCCGGCCCCTGCTCGGATCGGGTCCCAGGAATGTCCTAGCCGCCCGTGGCGAGGAGTCCACTCTCGGGCCGCGATTCTGATCCGGGAGCTGGACGCGCACCGCTTGGCAGCCTGGCTCGTGCATCTGCCGCCTCTCGTCACCGCCTCGTCTCCTTCCCCAGGATCGTCAGCGGCTTCGCCCCGAGGAGCTGCTGACCTCCGGCCCAGCCCGAGCCACAATGTCCCCGGAATCCAAAAAGCTTTTCAACATCGTTATTTTAGGAGTTGCCTTTATGTTTATGTTCACCGCCTTTCAAACTTGTGGGAATGTGGCGGTGAGTTGGGGTTTGTTCTCCGTCTCCCGAAGTGCCTCTCCTAACGCCTCCCCCGCTCCAAAAAAAAAACCAAAAAAACAAAAAAAACAAACCCAATAATAGTCATCGTACCTAGCAGCGCGCTGAAATTGCACCTTCTATCTTCCCACCTGCCTGTCCCGGCTTTCTGTGCTTCAGTTTGGTTTCACGTGTCAGACGGTTTGTAGTAAATATTGCATCGGGTCGGGGTGTCGAGCAGTTAACCGCTTATTCCTCTGACCTGACTTGGGGTCTGCAGGTTGACCTGTCATTTCGTGCCTGCATTAAGGTCCACGTTAGTGCTGGGACAATTGAGCAGAAGGAAGAAGCCTCAAGGCGTAGCTACAGCCCAGCTTTCCGCGCTCCCCGGGCCTCGGTTTGCCCCTTTCCTGTTGTCTAGTGCTGCTTGTCTCCTAGCTGACTTTCCGACGGGAAGCACGGAGTATCTTGATTTCCACTTTGCCAGGTGCTTCCTTCTCCGTCCTCGTCCTCGGAGACAAACTTTGGTGGGGGTGGGGAGGGAGACTGCAGAATGTTTTCACTGATGAGCTCTGTCTTCCACGCAGCAAACCGTCATCAGGAGCTTAAATAGCACAGATTTTCACGGCAGTGGATATACCAGGTATTGTACTCTATGGTTGGTTTTACTTCATGTATGACAGTAGTTCCCCGCCCCCCCCCCCCCAAATCTTCAGAATCTCCAGCCTTAATACTGTGGTTGAATTAGTAGGAGTTGTCTTGCCTCCACATCTGGGCTGCTTGGGAGAACGCAATAACGGTGCTGAGTTTAGATTTCATGAAGAATTAAACACCGGGTTTGGAATCCTGGTTTCGGGACATAAGACCGTGTTGCGTTAGGCCAGTGGCTTCTCTGAGCCCCGTTTCCTTGCTCAGATAATGCATATAAAGCTCTTGGCACAGTGCCTGGCATTTAACAAACACCCAAGTATTGTCATAATTACATCTTCTCAATGCTAATAGGGTTCTTGAAACATTCAGTCCTCCCGTCTTTGTAATTTCGTAACGATTCACATACTGTCACCAGGAGCTTTTAGATTTTTGTTGAGATGTTTTTGTCCCGGTTTTAGACATAGAGAAAATGAAGAGTTAAAAGGCCTTCATGAGTCAGTACATACGATTGAAGCTGGGAATGTAATGCACACATGGCTATAAACACAGGTTTCTTAATTTCTCTGTCATTAACTATAAGATGCTGACCATTCCCCCTTTCCCCACAGCTCTTATTTGGTTCTTTGTTATGTATCCTAAACCTAGTCTTGTATATGACATTTGAGAATAGAGGGATGCTAACCTCTGGGTTTTTTTTTTTTTTTTTTTAGATGATTAATAACAATACCACAGTTTTTTTTTTTTTTTTTTTTTTTTTTTTTTTTGTAGAGCTTTGTCTTCCAATTCCAAAGAATGTTTACTATTTAAGAGGATCATGGAAGCCAAAGAATAATTTACTTTGGGTTTGTAAATAGCATCTAGTAAATGAATTCAGGACCCTCACGGTGGTCTTAGTCACACTTTGCTACGAGACATTCGTACGAGGGCTGGGTCTATAGTAGCCAAATAATGTTCAGGTGAGACCATTAGGTTGAGTTAAGTAAGCTTTGGCTTAAGCAAGTGATAACCCTGTGCTTGTTATTTGTAACAGTGAAGTTTCATGCAGTTGGCAGGAGTTGTAAGCTAAGTTAGTAGAGCAGACTGGTTGACTAGAGCCTCTGGAGTGAGATTACCAGGGATAGGATCCTGGCTCCACCATTCACCAGCTATCTAGCTTTGGCAAGACCTTTGACAAGTAACTTAACCCCTCTGTGTTTCAGTTTTCTTTTCTGTAGAGTAAGGGTGATAACAATAAAATTTCATAGAACTGTCAGGTTTAATAAAGAAAACATACATAAAACAGTTGGCTCCGTGTTTGTTACATGTTATATGTTAGCTGTCATAATTTACTTGTTCAGTAAAAGCGTATTGTCCAAGGCAAGCTGATTCAAAGGGAAATTTGATGAGACTTCAGGATTTTGTGTAAGTGAAAACTTCAGCGTAGGGTTCAGCTTACCGATAGCATTATTGTTAATTCTGGCTAAAGAAATCAATGCTTATGGCAAAGAAAAACCTATAGACGCTAAGTATATTTGAAAAAAATGCACTTTTGAGACCGTGATTCAAGAGTTTTGTTTTTTTCCTTTTAATGTTTTATGTGTACAGCATGGCAATTATTTATGGAGTGTTCTCCGCTTCCAATTTGATTACACCATCAGTGGTGGCCATTGTAGGACCTCAGCTCTCTATGTTTGCAAGTGGTTTATTTTACAGGTGAGTAGTGTGATTTTCTTTAATTTAATTCAAACACCCTCAGCGCCTTTCAAGCATATAGTAAACTTTTCATAAGAAATTGCTGACTTGGGGGTGTGTGCCTGGCTCAGTCGAAAAGGCACGTGACTTTCGATCTCCAGGTTGTAGTTTCGAGCCCCACATTGGGTGCAGAGATTACTTAAAAGAAAAAAAAAAAATATATATATATATATATGCTGACTTGGCTTGAATAGAATACAGGCAGTATTTTTTTTAAAGATTTTATTTATTCATGAGAGATACACAGAGAGAGAGAGGCAGAGGCAGAGGGAGAAGCAGGCTCCATGCAGGGACTCCAGGATTATGCCCTGAGCCGAATGCAGATGCTCAACTGCTGAGCCACTGAGGTGTCCCAAATGCAGGCAGTATTTTAGGGATTTGGTTCTCTCTTTGATGCCCAGGGATTACCATATTGTTTTAATGTGATGGCGTGTGTGCATACTTGCTGTGATTTTAGTATTAACAAGAATAGCATCTCAAAATCTCTTTCTATGAGAGTTGAAAAATTTGGATTTCCCGTGGAATAATCTTATTTTATATCAAATTGATTAACAGGAATTCAACAGAGATAAACTTTGTTATTTTATTTTTTTAGATAAACTTTTTTAAAATTTTATTTATTAATGAGAAAAAGAGAGAGAGGCAGAGACACAAGCAGAGGGAGAAGCAGGCTCCATGGAGGGAGCCTGACGTGGGACTCCATCCCGGGTCTCCAGGATCACGCCCTGGGCTGAAGGTGGCGCTAAACCGCTGAGCCACCCGGGCCGCCCTCAACCGAGATAATTTAAGCTTTTTTTCTGGGTCATAGAACTGCAGTCCCAGCACGTGCTGAACTATTGGCAAAGGCCCATGGCAAACCCTTGTTCCATGTCCGATCTCACAAATTCAGAATAGTGAATTAAGAAATGAGTAGGTGAAATTTGTCCCCCCTGCCCCCGCAACACTGGAGAAGTCATTTACAGGTTGACTTTTAAAAAAAGGGAATCCTCAGAATCGATTCCTAGAAGGCATAATTGGCATTCTGTATGAGGTATTGTTTGACCGTAATGCGTTGACCTGTTACATTTTAGCATGTACATTGCCGTTTTTATCCAGCCTCTCCCATGGTCCTTCTACACAGCTTCTGTTTTCATTGGAATTGCAGCTGCCGGTAAGCATCTCGATGTTTATTTTCTCTGTGTTCTGGAATTTATTTAAGAATATCGTGTGTTTAGTGTGTGAAGCTAAGTGATTTCATTCCCTTGACAAACTTTTGGTTTGAATTTCAGTGCTTTGGACAGCACAAGGAAATTGCCTGACAATAAATTCAGATGAGCACACAATTGGGAGGAACAGTGGAATTTTCTGGGCACTCTTACAATCTAGGTAATAATCCTTCTGCAGCTCAGTCTTTTCTTTAATTATTTTGTCCCAGCATTTTTTTAGATCTTTGTTGTGTTGGAAATTCCTGTCTTCCATGTTTGGTAACTTGAGTTCCTAGCTGCATATGATGCAGATTTAACGTTTTATAGAATTGCGTGAAATGCATGGATCTGCCTCACTGGGACTCATGATTAGTAAGGAGAAAAAAAGGTTAACCATAACGTACTTAGCATCTGCTATGTTTCAGGCAGGGACTTTTGGCTTCATTACTAAATCTCAGTAATCCTCACTGCCTCATGAGACCAGTAGTAGTATTATCTGTGTTCTGCAGATGAGAAAACGGAGGCTTAAAAGTGAAGTAACTGATCTGATTTAAACCATCCTTATCTGGATTCCAAAGACCACATCCTTCCCACTGAGCTGCACCTGGTAGCTACTAATGAATATATTAAAATTTAAAAGTGAGGGGTGCCTGGCTGACTCAGGGCAGCATATGACTCTTGATCTCAGGGTCATGAGTTCGAGCCCCACATTGGGTATAGAGACTACTTAAAAATAAGTGAACTTAAAAAAAAAGTGAGATTAATTCTATCAATGCTGAATGATACAGTATATTATATATATCCTCAGTAAAAAACAAAAACTGTCATTCTGTCATCGTATCTGTCCTGAGGATTTATCCTTGTGGATATTGCCTAAAATTGTGGTATTAATATGTCTTTATAAATGCGGATGTTTCATTTGTAAGGGGGTGTATATTAAGAAACCAGAGTATAAGTGAATGATTCCTTCTCTGGGAAAGTATGCTAAAGTATCTAATTAGATGCAGGTAACTGAATCATGGATTCCCTCTCCCCATACATTCTTTAAAATATAGCCTTTGAGAAGTAGCATAACCTTGTTTCCAAGTAGTCATTTCCAGGTCCCAATAAATCACATGTTTCAAAGCGAGTCAAGTGTTTGAAGGGTGGTTCTGAATCAGGTCACCATCACGTGGAAGGAAACAATTCCATCTGGGTCATTTTTTCAGAAAGAGGGTGGAGTCGATACTTTTAAATGATCTAAGACAGGTAGATACTTTTAAAGTCACATATGCTTTAAAAATTTCTTTCTTTAACAAATGATGGAAAAACTGCTGTAAAGACTATAAATATGGAAATAAACCCTCAGCATTCTATTCTTCCTTTTCTTCCTCCAGCTTATTCTTTGGAAATCTCTACATATATTTTGCTTGGCAAGGAAAAACTCAAATATCAGGTTTGTGTTACTCACTTCGCTTTATTCACACATTTCAAAGGATAATAATAGTTTCTCTAAAAATATCCATTATCGCTCTATTCAGATGGTCCTAATGAACCTTGCTGCCTTAAGTCCTCTCGGATTTCAGTGTTTAGTAACTTTTTCTCTTATGTTATTAAGCTAGGGTTTTAGTTTATGACTACACTTCAGGCAGCATCTCAAGGTAGAAGAGAAGGTTATGCTATGTATGAGCAGTCACCTGTTAGACTTTTTTTTTTTTTTAAGATTTTATTTGTTTTTTCATGAGAGACACAGAGGCAGGCAGAGACCCAGGTGGAGGGAGAAGCAGGCTCCATGCAGGGAGCCCGACATGGGACTTGATCCCGGGACTCCAGATCAGGCCCTGGGCTGAAGGCGGCACTAAACTGCTGAGCCACTCGGGCTGCCCACCTGTTAGACTTTTAAACTCTTGTTTTGTCTGTATGCTTCTTTGGTTAAAAGAATGATTACTTTATTGTGCTGTTTTTCTTTTGGCTTATTAGTATTTCTTTAACTGTAAGACAAAGGTGGAGGTATTCTGGGTGGTAGTGTTTCTTGTTTGAGATTTTCACTAATGCAATAAAGTAAACATTTAACAAGGAAATTCTAGGATGGTGTTAAACCACCTCTGAACATATGCTAAGTCTGGAATTGTTTGCGTGTCCAGTGCTATCAGCTTTTTTTTTTTTCTTCCTCCAGAGAGTGATCGAAGAACAGTGTTTATTGCCCTGACAGTGATTAGCCTTGTGGGGACAGTTCTTTTCTTTCTCATTCGACAGCCAGATTCTGAAAATGTCTTGGGAGAAGATGAGTCTTCTGATGACCAGGACCTGGAAGTCAATGAGTAAGAAGTTGGCAACATTCCTTTTTATTTGAAAATATATTCTGAGTAGATGTAGAGATTACTAACCCTTTGTGGCCCTAACTCATCCAGGATTGGGCAGACATTAGGAAAAAGCTTTGTTTATATTTATTTATTTTAAGTAGGTTCCACACCCATCGTGGGGCTCGAACTGACAACCCTGAGATCAAGAGTCGCAGGCTCAGGACCCCTGGGTGGCTCAGCCAGTTAAGGGGTTCAACATCCGACTCTTGATTTCAGCTCAGGTCATGATCTCAGGGTCATGGGATCGAGCCCCTCCTTGGGCTCCTTGCTCAGCGGGGAGGGGGGGATCTGCTGAAGATTTTCTCTCTACCTGCCCCCTTCATGCACATACACATGCATGGGTGTTCTCTCTTTCTATCTCTCAATAGATAAAATCTTTAAAAAAAAAAAAAAGTTGCAGCCTCTACTGACTGAGCCAGGCAGGCGCCCTGAGGGAGAGGTTTTAAAGCCAGTTATGTGAGAAAAAAGATGGGGAGCTGTGGGGCGGAAGAAGGGAAAAGAAGGGAGAGGCAGGGGAAAGCTTACAGGAGATCTGAGCCAGACCCCCAGGTTGTGGCTGACACGTTGTCAGACCCTGGACATTAGCCATAATCCCCTTATTTCTCTGGGCCTCAGTTTCTTCTTTCAATTCAGCTGGCCTCCTGTGTGCTTTAATATACAAAGATACGGGCTTATAGAGTTAAATAGAAGACAGTCTTTGCCCTTAGTTACGGTTTTTCTGGTCCAGCCCTAAGATGTCCCCATGCATGTGGTATAGGTGAGTGACAGGGCTATCCACAGCTGTCACAGAAGATCCTCAGTCACACCCGTGCCCTTCTCTACTGCGATGGGTTTTTTCACAAACCTACATGGATGCTCTTCCAGAGTAGTCCAAATGGGGAAACAGGTATACAGTGCTCTATTCTTCAAAAACACTGTGTATTACCTTGAGCCTATTTTAATTATAAGTAAAACTAAAACATCACAGATGACTTCTCTGCGGGTAGTATCGAGGTCTGAGGAACAGGGAATGAGAAATCTTTGCCAGTTTTGTTTTGCTTTGTGAATCAGTAAATTGTGAAGATGAAGTTATAGCTTTTTTTTTTTTAAATTTTATTTATTTATTCATGAGAGACACAGAGAGAGAGGCAGACACAGGCAGAGGGAGAAGCAGGCTCCCCACAAGGAGCCTGATGTGGGACTCATTCCCAGGACCCTGGGATCACAACCTGAGCTGAAGGCAGATGCTCAACCACTGAGCCATCCAGGCACCATTATAGCTTTTTATTTATTGTTAAAACAGCATTGAGCATTCTGTGCCGCCTTGTCATTCTCAAAAAGGCCTAAAATTGTCTGGCTATGGGATCATTAAGCATTCAAAATTTCACTGTTTGTTTAAAGCAAAAGAGAGGTGTTAATCTTTGGTTAAATGTGTTTGTATATACGTGTAAAGATGATACGTATATATAATGTAAACCATGTGTATATATTTTTTATCATAAACTAACAAATATTGGGAAAGGAATCTTTGAAGAGGAATATCACAGAGTCAGCAAAAATTAAAACACCTGTTGGTTTAGTAAATGTCAGATGTTGGTTCTGTGCAAAAACAGCCCATCCTTGTTTTCAAGGAACTTTGTGGATAGACAGTGGATCATATAACTGATAAGGTACAGTGCTGAGGAGTATTGCTCAGTCCTTTTAGCATATTCTCTTCCTGAATTGTTTCCCAGACTTGAAGCTTCCTTGTTTTTATTCTATAAATAGTGCAGACTCTGTGCCAGCCCCCTTCTAAACCTGAGGGGTACAGCAGTGAACAAGACAGATAAGTCCCCGTTCTTGTGCCACTTAATTTTAGAGGGGGTATAGACAATACATATGTACAACTGCAAAGTAAGTGTTAAGGAGGGGCGGTGATGGAGGGCTAGGTGGCTCACTGAGGCCATTGCCAAGGTCAGGTGGTGGGAAGGAGTGTGGTGAGTGCCAGGGCTGCAGGGAGGCCGTGGGACTCAGCACAGGGAGGGAGTGGAAGTAGGATCATCTGCAGTAGAGAGTTAGTTCTGGGAGCAGGACTATGGCAGGACAGCAGCTTTTCTTCTTTTTTAAAGATTTTATTCATTTATTCATGAGAGACACAGAGAGAGGCAGAAACACAGGCAAAGGAAGAAGCAGGCTCCCTGCAGGGACCCTGACGTGGGACTCAATTCCAGGACCCCGGGATCACGCCCTGAGCTGAAGGCAGCCGCTCAACCACTGAGCCACCCATGTGTCCCTGCAGCTTCTATTCTTAGTGTGATTAGAAGCCATCTAAGGGAGGCATCTGGGTGGCTTAGTTGAGCATTTGACTCTTGATTTCTGGCTCAGGTTACAATCTCAGGGTCTTGAGATGGAGGCAGAGGGAGAGAAAGAGAGGAGGTAACATTTAGGTTGTAGGGGATGAAAGATAATTTTCCCTTCACTCTCTTGGGCAGCCCGGATGGCTCAGCGGTTTAGCACCGCCTTTGGCCCGAGGTGTGATCCTGGAGACCCAGGATCAAGTCCCATGTTGGGTTCCCTGCATGGGGCCTGCTTCTCCCCCTGCCTGTGTCTCTGCTTCTTTCTCTCTGTGTGTCTCTCATGAATAAATAAATAAAATCTTTTAAAAAACACTTTTTTTCCCTTCACTCTCCTATGTTCTTAATCGAGACCCCTGTAATAAAGATTAAGGAGGGAAAAAGTACCCACAGGTTTATTAGCACTTGTGCCTCATGTATACATGAAGGAAACCCAGGGGAAAATGAGAATTCTCCAGGATGGCTTAGAATTTAGATTTTATATGCCATCTAAATAGGGAAAGGGAAAGAGGGATGTAGGCCTCTTATGGGAGAGTAGATGATTTGTTGGAAAGATGAATAGACCCTTAGGAGACTAGATGGGAAACGTGATAGTTTGTGACACACTGTTGATGTCTGGTCTCCTCTCTTGTGACAAGAAGATCTTTCCTGTTTGATGAAACTCCCAGAGGTGATGTATAACAGTTGAGTTCCTTTTGGAGGATCTGTCTTGAGGCAGATGAGGGGATTTAGAGAAAGCCTGTCCCCACATTTGCTGTTTTTCGAGTGCCTGCAGCTTCACATAATCCATATACCAAAGTGGCGTGTTTGTGGTGGCACCTTCTGCTACCCTTCAAAGTTGAGACCTTAAAGAGGTAAGCTAGGAGTGAGATGGGAGGGTGTTAAGAGGGCTTGGGAGGGATTGGCAGTGATCTCACTCTGCCCCCTCCATCCTTGCAGGCCTCAGGGACCATCTAGTAGGATTCTAGAAATGGTTCCCTTTAATATCTCACTGAATTGAATTGGGAGTGATTTGCACCTGATTTCTAGCTGGCTTGATTGTATTTTAATAGTCTATAGAGTATATAAAACAGTTCCTACTTATTTATCTGGGGTCCGAAACGTAAAATACTACAATCCTACGCCTGACCCTATCCCAACTACAAGAGTATTGTCGGTTACTTGGAGTCTAGAGTTTTTGCTTCCAGGGAAAACGTGAGTTTTTATGGTGAGGAAGAAAGGGTTTTCCTATTGGTTAAAACAGGCTTTACCTTTTTGTGTCACTAATTCATATATATAAGTCACCTGTATCTCCATGAGGCTTCTTTTTTTTTTTCTTTTTTGTGAATAATAGTATGTAAAGATGGCAGAGGAATGAGTATTACCCTATTGGCTGTAATCTTTTAAAAAATGTCTTTACTGGGGCACCTGGATGGCTCAGTGGGTTGGGTGTCTGCCTTCGGCTCAGGTCGTGACCCCAGGGTCCTGGATCGAGTCCCGCATTAGACTCCCTGCTCAGCAGAGAGTCTGCCTCTCCCTCTCCATCTGCTTCTCCTAGTGCTCATGCTCTCTCTCGTTCTCTCAATAAATAAAATCTTTAAAAAAAATGTTTTTATCGTAATCGTAGTTAACAATTATACTTAAACTACATGGCTTCCTTAAATTCTTCCAGTTACATGGTAGTGCCCCTATTTTATAAACGGGGAAGTGAAACTTAGAGGCATGAAGTAACTTGTCTAAAACCATATGATTGGTAAGTGGCAAAGCACAGCGCAGACCCTGAAGCCCGTTTTTGACCTGTAGCTTCTCTGGCACCCAGCTGTGGAGCACAGGTGCTGGTATTGCTTTCAAAAAGTTTTCACACTGCACAACTTAGTTTTGAAGGAGTCAAAATAGAGGAAAATGGAGTTCTTATAAGCTGTTTGTACAGTATGAGAATAGCAAGGTGGAGATTTCTGTTCCGCCAGAAGTATCCTTTCTGCAAAGGACAGGCATGCATCTGTGCTGTCAACTTAGTATGAGAGAATGGTGTTTGTTAATAAAGAGCCACACAGGTGGCACTTTCACCTCATTCTTTGAAGCCAGGACAGGGTCCCATCAGGACACCCTGGAGCGAGGAGCATTGGAGGCAGTGGAAATATTTGCCAGACTATGCAGGGAACAGAACTTTGATGAATGTCAATGAAAATATCGCATTTTTGTTCTCTTTTCAGTTTTCAGAAGAAAACACTTTTTGTTTTACTTTTTCAGGTCTGCCCAGAGCACTATGGGAAAAGCAGTAGATGCCTTTAGTAAGTATTTTCTGTGCCTGAAATGCGAGACCTGTTCAGGAACACCTGGAGCGTTTGCCTTTACCCCCTTCCCTGGTAACTCTGGATTGACGATCCCCCAGGGTTTTCGTGTTTCCAGGTATGCCCCACCGCAGGGCAGTAGTTTTCTCAGTCAGTGTCTCTGTAACTGGGGGCCGCACAGACGGATGGTACCCTGACTGCCTGGCCTAGGGCCCTGTGAGGGAGGTACAGGGAGGTGCCTGTACCTGTGCTTTGGAGAGCTTGGGGGCTGGAGCTAATTTACACCAGCCAGTGAGGACACACAAACCATCTCCTTAGAACTCACTGGGAAGAACAGCTAGGCTTGTCTGTGGAGGGTTCTTCCTCGCTAAACCTCCCTCCACGTTTCTTTTGTATTATTCTCAAAACTGCTCTGTAAGTGTCCTAGAACACAGGCCTACCATTCTCTCCATTTTATAGAAGAGAGGTTTGAGGCTTAGAGAAATTGTCTACCCAGGGTCAAATAGCTAGTACATGGCTAAGGTGGGACTTGAGCCCAAACTGTGACAGGCCAGGCCAGCGATTCCCATTATGGCCATCTTGTTCCTTCTGAAACTGGCAAGCGTGGCTTCCAGTTCTCATAAGGCCTGATATAGGCCAGTTCTTTGCTTCTCTTAGTCTCTTTGTCTCCCAAGGAGAGAGAATCTGATCACTATCTAGTGGGATGCAGTTTTTTGGGGTCATGTTGTTTCAGTTAGGCTCCTGGGCCTTATACACTTCTGTGCTTGTGGCTAGACTGACTATAGGTTGCCTTGGGCTAGAGTGCCAATTCTTGTTCTAAGCAGCCATGGCCTAAGTCAGATGACAAAAAGCACCCAACTTATAGCCAAGAATATAGCCTGTGGTCTCATTTTCTAGAAAAGGCTTATGGGTGTGGTAGTCTTGAGTTCCCAATAGTATATTATTGTTTGGGCTGTTTAATCAGACTTTTTTTTTTTTAAGATTTTATTTATTCATGAGAGACACACAGAGAGAGGCAGAGACATGGGTAAAAGGAGAAGCAGGCTCCCCGTAGGGAGCCTGATGCAGAACTCGATCCCAGGACTCGATCATGCCCCGAGCCAAAGGCAGATGCTCAACCACTGAGCCACTCAGCTGTCCCATAATCAGGCTTTTATTATATGTATTTCTTATGTTTCCAGAACACATTCATAATGATACAGTATAATTAAAAGGATGTAGCCAGACTGTCTCCCAACAAGATGGGAGGTCACCACAGTCAAAGGTCCAGCTTTGAGCTTTGCAGGCCTAGAAACGCATTTGTCACAAGTCCCGTTATTGATCAGAGGGACCAAAGGGGAAAGGGCTCAAGCGAAACAAACCACAGAAATCTCAATTTAGCTATTTATGATGGTGTTTAATATTTTTTAATGAGCCCTTTCATAGATTTTCCCTTCTTGGTGTTCCCTTCTTGGCCTAGAAAGCCACGTTGGCTTACTTGGTTTGCCACGGAGTCAGGGAAAGGGAGATTGATGACCTCCAGTTTTATGAAATGGTCCGTCTAGCCTTGGTAAGGCTTGACGCAGCCTCCGCACACCACTACCGAACCCCCGATCTCCCTGGCTGCCTGTTTATACTAACCAGATTCAGGATGTCCTTCCTGGATGTATGAACTTCGTCTCAACTTCTCTTTCTATAAAATGAGGCACTAACACAGCAGAGGCCGCATGGTTTCATCATAGAACTAGTTGGTTGCTCCACTGGGTGCCGGAGTGATAGGATGTTGAACCATCTAGTTTGAATGGGGAGAAAGAAGGAACAGCCAAAGAGGCAAGTTAAGTAAGGTGCTACAGGGCAGGAAAATTTAGGAGCTGGTTCCTGGGCCCTTGGAAGGAGTGTGAGGTAATGAGGTAACAAGCCAAAAAGAAGACAGGAAGCAGACTGTCCAAGCTTTAAATAATCTGTCTGTGGGGTGGGGGGGCTGTGTTTCATTTTTTATTAATCATCACATTCCCTCTGTTGATGCTGTGGTGCATGTTGTACAGAAAAGGCTCCTGATTATCTGAAAAGCACGTCATTTCTTTTTTTTTTTTTTTTTTTTTAAGATTTTATTCATGAGAGACACAAAGAGAGAGGCAGAGACGCAGGCAGAGGGAGAAGCAGGCTCCACGCAGGGAGCCCGATGTGGAGCTCCATCCCAGGACTCCAGAATCACGCCCTGAGCCGAAGGCAGATGCTCAACCACTGAGCTACCCAGGCATCCCAGGAGCACTTCATTTTTTTTTTTTTTTTTTAATGGATCAGTTGTTTAATTAGGTTCTTTGTAAAAAATTTAGAACACCCAATTTGTGAGGGTAAACTCCATTTGTGAGAGAAAACACAGAGCGGAGGTAGCCCTGAAGCTGAGGAACAGCTTTGATTTTTGGCAGAATTTGCGAGTCCACAGCTTTCTGATCAACCTTGCGCTGCTCTGTAATCTCGTATTTCTCCTTCTCTGTGTCAAAAATCTCCCCTTCCTGGTGTCTGGGTTTACGCAGCTTCTTCTTCTTGAAATAAGCATCAGTGAGATGTTTGGGGATTTTCACGCTGCTTATATCAATTTTAGTGGAAGTGGCAATGACAAATTTCTGGTGTGTTCTACACAGAGGAACTCGGTTGAGGGCCAGAGGTCCAGTCACAAGTAGCAAGCCACTGCTCAGTTGCTTCAGGAAAACTACCCTCTTGCCTCTGTGGCGCCCAGTGAGGATGATCAAAATGGTCCCAGGAGTGATGCTAGCTCGCAACTTTCTCACATGCTGACTGAAAGGTTTTTTGCCATGGCTCAACAGCTTGCGAGGCACATCTTCAGTAGGATAATACCTAGGCATTTTGCGAAGTTTAACCACTCGGGTACCACCATTCTTGTCACCACCAACTGGTTTTGTAACGGTAGCAAGAACCTTCTCCTTCTTTTTCTTTTCAACCCTGGATTTAGCTGCCGAATACTTCCTCTTGTACATGGCTTTTCTGGAATACATAGCCGATCGGGAATATCTGCCAATTCCTCTGACTAGGACAGGGTTTCGGCTGCAGTGGGGCTTCCCCTTCTTTGGCGTTTTAGTTTTAGCCTTTACGTTACCCTTCTTTGCCTTGCCACCGGCATTAACCTTCTTGGCTTCAGGTTTCTTCTCCTTAGTATCCGGCTTCTCGGCTTTTTCGCCCGCCATCTTGCAAGATGGAAAAGAGCGAGCACTTCATTTTTTAACCAAATGCATATGTTTGATGGGATTCTAGAAAAAAAAAAATAAGATTTTATTGTTTGGAAGAGGGAGAGAGAGAATGGGTGCACGTGCAAGCAGAGGGAAGTACAGAGGGAGAAGGACAAGCAGACTCCTGCTGAGCAGGGATGCCTCCTTGGGGCTTGATCCCAGGACCCCAAGATCATGACCTGAGCCAAAGGCAGATGCTTTACCCACTGAGCCACCCAGGTGCTCCAATTCTAGAAAATTTTTAAACATTTATTTTTTGGTCTTGGAACAATTCTGAAGTTCATCTGGAAGAATAACTGAGAATAGGGGCAGCCCACGTGGCTCAGCGGTTTAGCACCGCCTTCAGCCCAGGGTGTGATCCTGGAGTCCCGGGGTCAAGTCCCACGTCAGGCTCCCTGCATGGAGCCTGCTTCTCCCTCTGCCTGTGTCTCTGCCTCTCTTTCTCTCTCTGTGTCTTTCATGAATAAATAAATAGAAAAATCTTTTTAAAGAAATAACTGAGAACAGCTAAGAGAGTTTTTGAGAAGGAGAACTTTCCTTTAATAAATATTAACATTTATCATGAATCATTTGAACACTTTGGAATACAAAGAGCAGTGGAACTGGTTTCTAGAATCAGGCCCATGTCCATAATACTACAAATACAATAAAAGAGATTCTTAAATAAAATTAGGGAGTGGAGTGTATAGGACAATAGACTCGAACGTTGTATCTTCTTGCATTCCAAGTGGATTCAATGTAAAAATGAAACTATAAAAGTAATCCAAGAAACCGGTTAGAGAAAAGCCTTGTAAAAGCAACTTACGCAAACATTAAGAGAAAAGGTGCCCTTTGGTTGCTTAAAATATAAAACGTCTAACTGTCAAAACAACCTATGGGGGACACCTGGATGGCTCAGCGGTTGAGCATCTTCAGCTCAGGATGTGATCCCAGGCTTCTGGGATCGAGTTCCACATCAGGCCCGCTGTGGGGAGCTTGCTTCTTCCTTTGCCTGTGTCTCTGCCTCTGTCTCTCATGAATAAATAAATAAAATCTTAAAAAACAACAACAACCTAATAGACTTAAAATGATAGAGAAGACATTTGCTTAAGAATGAGAAATGGAAATTTGAAAGTTTTCCATCAAATTTTAAAAGATAAAAATAATTGTCCATGTTATCGGGAGTATGTACTTACAGGCATAAGACCACATTGCTGATAGGAAGATATATTTATATTATTTTCTGAAGAACAATCTGTCAGCAAATATCAGAAGCCTTAGAAATGTTTGTGCCTTTATCCTGGCAATTCCACTAATAGGATTATCCTCAGGAAATAATTAAGAATTTTTGTCAAGATTTAATGGCTAAGATGTCTGTATTAGTGAGAAACTGAAAGTAATTGAAATATTTCATAACAAGGCATCAGTGCATCTATACAAGAGATTATTCTAGCCATTAAAATGATCTTGATGAATGTTAGAAAATATTTATTATGTGAAAACAAATTTTAAAATAGTATATATAATGAATTTTGTTTCTATTAAGTTTTTTTTAAGTCTGGAAGGAGATCCATTAAACTGTTAGATTATAGTTTTTCTCTTAATAGGATAGGTTTATTGAATGTAATTCACAGACTGTACGATCTAAGTGTACAACTTGTTGGCATTTAGTATATTCACAGGGTTGGGCATTCATCACTACAGTCAATTATAGGACTTGTTCTTCACCCCAGAAGAGATTACTATACCCATTAACATTCACTTCCCATTTTCTCCACTACCCCGATCCCTCACCCTAGGCATCCATTAACCCACTTTCTGTCTTTAGACTTGCCTCTCCTGTCCTGGATATTATTTTATATGCATGGAATTGTGCTATACGTGCTTTTTTGTGACATGTTCCTCTTACTTATGGTTTTGGTTTTATGGTCGTGGTTTTGAGGCTCATCCATGTTATGGCATGTTACAAAGAATGGAGTGTTTGTAGGCATCATGAATAATGCTGCTGTGAACATCCGTGTACAGGTTTTTGTGTGGATGTACATCTGCATATCTCTGTGTGTGTATCTAGGAGTCATGGGATTGCTGTCTGCAGTCGCTGTTTAAGCTTCTGAGGAACCAGCAAATGTTTTCCTGAGTGGCTGCACCATTTTACGCTCCCAGCAGCAGTGTCTGAAGGTTCCGGTTTCTCTACCTCCTTGAGTCCTTATCTGTCTTTCTGATTCTGGCTGTCCCAGTGGGTGTAAAGTGGTGTCTCATGGTTTTGATTGGCATTTTCCTGATGGCTAAGGGTGTGGAGATTTTCACGTGCTTGTGGTCATCTGCATCATGTCTCTAGAGAACTATCTACTCGAGTCCTTTGCCCATTTTTTATGGGTTGTCATTTTATTATGGAGTTGTAAACATTCTTTATATGTTCTAGATAGAAGTCTCATATAGGATTTGCAAATATTTTCTTTTTTTTTTTTATAAATTAATTTTTATTGGTGTTCAATTTACCAACATACAGAATAACACCCAGTGCTCATCTCATCAAGTGTCCCCCTCCGTGCCCGTCACCCATTCACCCCCACCCCCCGCCCTCCTCCCCTTTCACCACCCCTAGTTCATTTCCCAGAGTTAGGAGTCTTTATGTTCTGTGTCCCTTTCTGATATCTCCCACACATTTCTTCTCCCTTCCCTTATATTCCCCTTCACTATTATTCATATTCCCCAAATGAGTGAGAACATACACTGTTTGTCCTTCTCCGATTGACTTACTTCACTCAGCATAATACCCTCCAGTTCCATCCACGTTGAGGCAAATGGTGGGTATTTGTCGTTTCTAATGGCTGAGTAATATTCCAGTGTATACATAAACCACATCTTCTTTATCCATTCATCTTTCGATGGGCACCGAGGCTCCTTCCACAGTTTGGCTATTGTGGACATGGCTGCTAGAAACATCGGGGTGCAGGTGCCCCGGCGTTTCATTGCATCTGAATCTTCGGGGTAAATCCCTAACAGTGCAATTGCTGGGTCGTAGGGCAGGTCTATTTTTAATTCGCAAATATTTTCTCTCATTCCTTAGGTTGGCTTTTCATTTTCTGGATAGTATCTCCTAAAGCACAGAAGTTCTAAATTTTTGAAGAAGACTGATTTACCTTTTGATTTTTACCTTGTGCATGTGTTTTTGTTGTCCTGAGGTCCTGCTTGGCCCCGGATCACAAAGATTTGCTCCTGTTTTCTTCTAAGAGTTTTAGTTTCCACTCTGACATTTAGGTCTGGGATCTATTCTGAGTTCATTGTTGTGTATGTTGTGAGGTAGGAGTCCAACTGCATTCCTCTGCCCGTGCCACCTTGTTGTCCTGCTGAAAAGACTGATCTTCCCCCATTGAATTGTGCTGATTCTCTTGTCTAAAATCAATTGACTGTAAATGTAAGAGTTTATTTCCAGATGCATGTGTCTGTCCTTAACGCTGGTACCATGCTCCGCTGATGACTATCAAACTTTGAAGTTGGAAAGTGTGACCTTCCAACTTTGTTCTTTTTCAAGATTGTTTTGGCTACGATGGGCCCCTTGAATTTCTGTATGAATTTTAGGATCATTTTGTCTATTTCTGTACCTAGATGATGTTGTGTTGTTGTTTCTGTCATCTTTTTAGAGCTGTTGTAGATTCACAACAAAATTGAGGAAGAGAGTTCTCCAATGCTCCCTTGCCCCTCACACATGCATAGCCTCCCCCACCAGAGTGGCGCATTTGTTACAGTTGATGCCCCTGCTACATTCACACATCGCATCACCACCCAGAGTCCACAGTTTAACATGAGGGTTCACTCTTGGTGTACATTTTATGGGTTTGGACGAATGTATGACGATAGGTAGTCACCATGATAGTATTATTCTAGATTGTTTTTTTTTTATTTTTTATTTTTTATTTTTTTTTTTCTAGATTGTTTTAAAATTCCTTTTTGTAAATCTTCTGATTATCAGGCAGCCCAGGTGGCTCAGTGGTTTAGCACCGCCTTCAGCCCAGGGCCTGATTCTGGAGACCTGGGATCAAGTACCACGTCAGGCTCCCTGCATGGAGCCTGCTTCTCCCTCTGCCTGTGTCTCTGCCTCTCTCTCTCTCTCTGTGTCTCTCATGAATAAATAAATAAAATCTATAAAACAAAATCTTCTGATTATCCAAAAACAAACATGGTTTGCTAATGTCATTTTTTAAAATTAAAAATATTGTTTTAAACTTTGTATTGACCAGGGGTGCCTAGGTGGCTCAGTCAGGTGCCTTTGGCTCAGATCATGATCCCAGGGTCCTGGGATTGAGCCCCACATCAGGGTCCCTGCTCAGTGGGGAGCCTGCTTCTCCCTTCCCTGCTTGTGCTCTCTCTCACTCTCTTTCTCTCAAATAAATAAATAGAATCTTTAAAAAAGTAAAAATAAACTTCATATTGGTCATATATTTTTTCGTGAAAATGGTGAAAATGTCATACTGCATTTAGTCTTACTACATTTCAGTGAGGTTAGATAAAAAAAATACCCTCTTCTGCATGTGGCGAAATTCAGGACAGAGCATTTGTGTCTTGTGTAACTTCTGTAGTCAGCAGTTGAGCAAGAACTAAAACCTGGATCCACTATTCACTTAGGAGTAGTTTAAATCTGGCCTTAAATTATGAAATGTAAGCAGGTTCAAAGAGACAGTTAAAATGTGCAGTTTTTAGACATGGATTTTCCTTTGCTGATTTCCACCATATCGAACAGCATAAAAACAGATGTTAAAGTAGTCATAAGCAAATATGCAGAACTGAAGTTTCGGTCCTCAGATCCAGAGAACTGAGAATCACAGGAAATGGTGTGGCGGCCTCTGTGCGGTCAGCAAGCTCCCTCGGTGACGATCTGGAGTCCAGTCTTCAAGTCACTCTGTGCCCTCTCGTTCCTCTGAGATGTTATTGCTTTGCCAGCCATGGACTCCCTTAGGCTAACCCTTGGTCAAGTCTGTTGAAAGAGTCATGTTTTATTTGATTCTATTTCTTTTCTCTATTCCATGGTTTTTAGTTTTTGTTTTTCTTTTAATTCAAGCTGGAGAATATGGTGGGGGAAAGGCCACTCTAGAATGTATTGAAGCAGTTGAAATAAACACATTATTTACAGGGCAGATTTTGTTCATCCCTTCGGCATCTGAATCCTTAACCTCAGTGCCACTGTATTTGTCTACTGGCGTTACTGACAAGGGGTGTCCGGGTTAAGTAAATGTTTTAGGATTTTTGTTTGAGTAAGTACGATCTAATTAAGCACTCCTGAATTGTTTTCTTTCTTACAGGAAAATCTCTTAAGCTATGTGTCACCAAGGAGATGCTCCTCCTTAGCATTACAACTGCTTATACAGGTAATGGGAATAATGATGGGGTTTTCTGTGGCTACTTTATGACAAAGGGTGGAAAACAACCACTGCATGATTCTTTCCCATAGTCCTGTGTACTGACAGGGCTCAGCTGAGTGGTTCTGATGGTCTTAATCGAGGTTTCTTATGGGTGCTATTAGAGGCAGCTGGGGCCACAATGTCCCTATAGTTCCCTTTGCATGTCTGAAGGGGTCAAGTGCAAGGCTGGGGGGTCTCTCCGTCTCTGTGTCTACGTTGTCTCCGTGGCTGCATGACCCCCTCCCACATGATCCCTTCCTTCCAACCTGGCGGGAAGGCCAGATGGCTTAGAGGCCAAGTGCAAAAGGAGAAAGGGCAAAAGGAGAAACTACCAGATTTTCTTTAGGCTTAGCCCTGGCATGAGCCTAGTATCACTCTGCATTTCATTGGTTAAAACACATCACAGGGCCAGCCCAAGTTCAGTGTAGGAGGATTCTGCACAAGGGTTGAACCCTGGGAGGCACAACTGATGACTTTAGGGCAAAATAGAACACTACAGAAAATAATCCTGAGTAATCTTGTAAGTTTTTATAGATTCATATACTTCCTGATAAAGTGGAATGAGTTCTGTGGTTTACCCTGGGTCGTTGGAGCACTCTCAGATCTTCAGAATGTTTAGGAGATTGGTTTCTTTTTTAAAAGTGTTAAGAGGGATCCCTGGGTGGCGCAGCGGTTTGGTGCCTGCCTTTGGCCCAGGGCCCGATCCTGGAGACCCGGGATCGAATCCCACATCGGGCTCCTGGTGCATGGAGCCTGCTTCTCCCTCTGCCTATGTCTCTACCTCTCTCTCTCTCTCTCTACCATAAATAAATTAAAAAAAAAAGAAAAGTGTTAAAAAAAAAGTAAATTAAAAAATAAGTGTTAAGGGAAAAAAGTGCTATAATGTGCCAGCGATTACTTTTGCCTTTATTTGCCTTATAGGTATGAGCATCTTTTTTTGAGAAATAGAAAAATGGTAAACATCTTTAAAATTCAGAAAGTTTTTGTAGCATTGAGGAATGTAGAAGACCTACTGATTGGCCTTAATTTTTTAACCCTAATTTTTAAAACTTATTTTTCTGGGAAAAAGAGTTCAACGAAAACATTGTGCCTTTGAGCAAGGTGGATGGTATGCATTGGTTTGCCAAACCTACATTCCTATTAACCTTGGAGAGCTGTTAATAAGGGTAACAAACACTTTAGAAATCACTAGTACAGACTTTACATATGTACTGCCCTCTGTCCATCCCATCTCCACACAGAGAATCGTTTTTGTTTTTTAAGATTAATTTATGTATTTGAGAGAGACAGCATGTGCCTGTGTCTCTGGAGGAGGGACGGGGGCGGGGCAGGGAGACTCCACAGTAAGCCTGGAGCTCCATGTGGGGCTCGATCCTAGGACCCTGAGATCATGACCTGAGCTGAAATCAAGGGTTGGGTGCTTAACCTACTGAAGACACCCAGGTGCCCAAAAGACTTAACAGAAGAGTTAAGACAGAGCAAAGACACTCTTCTGTCTTTGCTTATTTGAGTTGTGTATTTTTATCTGAAATACATGGCAACTGCCATCTTGAGGTTAATTCCATTTCATCAGCTAGATAGCATAAAACTGATCTGCTTGGGGGGAGTAACATGTCAGGCTGAATGAATTTTATTGTGTACATATATAATTCTGCCAGCCATGAGGAAAAACCAGGAATGGAGATTGTGAATGTGTAATTAAATATGATTTTTTTTCCTTAGGTCTGGAATTGACTTTCTTTTCTGGTGTCTATGGAACATGTATTGGTGCTGTAAATAAATTTGGAACAGAAGAGAAGAGCCTCATTGGACTTTCTGGCATTTTCATTGGCATTGGAGAAATCTTAGGTTTGTTAAAAAAGCGTTTTTGCATGAAATCACTTTGTTGTAGTTATAGATATTGTAAGTGTACTTCACCTCTTTATCCTTGAATTTTAATTACCTTGCTTATTTTCACCCAGACAGGTATGTCTTTTTTTATGATCATCGTTCTAAGAAAACTATGTTTGCCATATAATTCACAGACAAAACCATACATAGGAAAACATACAGTCTCTTCCAGCTTTTTTTCTTAAAATACTTAGGGAAAGTATCTTCTGAATCTCTGACACAAGCTGGAGGTCCAGTGAGACAAGTCACTTCAAACTTCTAAGTATTGGAGTTTCTGTCAGACTCCACAGGCCCAAGGTCTCAGTCCCATAAAGATGCCCTCACTTCAGATGCCACTTGCCAAAAATCCCAGGTCCCCAGGCTACCTACATTTCTGTCTGACTTGGCTATGAATTTGGAGGTTCCCATAAACCCCTAGGAAAATGCTATATTTACTGTTAAAGCTTATTATAAAGAATACAAGTGAACAGCCGGATGGAGGCACATACGGCAGAGTCCAGAAGGGTCCTGAGTACAGGAACCTGTGTCCCCGTGGAGTCAGGATATATTACCCTCCCAGTATGTGGATATGTTCAACCAACCAATCAGGGTAGCTCTCCCAAACCCATCATTTAGAGGTTGTTATGGACATTTCATTACAGAGGCAAAGTTGATGAGATCATTGGCCAATGGCGATTGAACTCAATCTCCAACCCTCTCCCCTGCCCTGAGCTTGGCAGCTGGGACTGAGGGTTCCAACCCTCTAAGTAAATCTTGGTCCTTCTGGCAACCAGCAGCCATCCTGAAGCTAGCTAGTCCACCCCTAAACACCCTCAGCAATCACCTCATTTGCATAAGCTCTGGTACGGTCGGGAAAGAGTAATAGAGAACAAACAGAAGACATGCCTGTCACTAAGGACATTCCCAGGGTCCTAGGAGCTCGGTGCCAGGGAGGAGGAGGGACAAGGCAAAGACCAACATGGATTTTTACTGTACCACATTAGGTATTCTTTTTTTTTTTTAATGTTTTTTTATTCAAATTCCAGTTAGTTAACATGCAGCATGATATTAGTTTCGGGTGTACAATGTAGTAATTGAACATTTCGTCCCACTCATGGTGCTCAGCACCATGCGTGCAGGTATTTGTCCATCAGCCACACTGGCTCGATCCCTGGAACAGTGTGTTGGACACCATCCTGTAGGAGGAACTTACCAATTCATCACATACTTATGCCTGCATTGTATGACTGAGACTCCCTGCCCACATGGAGCTTCTGGCCTTAGGGAAGAACATAGACAATAAACCCTCCTAGGACCCTTGGAGTGGCCCGTGGTGATCAGCATGTTGACAAGAGCAGATGGCCTTTTCTTTCCCTGCTTTTTGCCCACACCTGGAACTGTACCAGGTGTTTATGTAGAATATGGTTATAGTAATTATTGTGATGTTTTTGCCCATTCTAGTATCTGTAATCGTTCTGGGTTGTTTTTAAAATTTTTTACAACTTTATTGAAATGTAACTCACATACCATATACATCACCCCCTAAAAGTGTATGTGTGGGTCAGTGTTTTTTAGTATAGTGACAGGTTGTGAGTCATCCCTACAATCTAATTTTAGTACATTTTTCTTGCCCTTCTGCAGGCAACTGCTAATGTGCTTTCTTTAAAAAAAGAAATGTTCACTTCTTTAAAACATACTTTAAAAAATACATTTTTTATCAGTAGACAATATTTAATTGTACAGATATATCACATTTTATTTATCCGTCCATCATTTGATGAACATTTGGGTTGTTTCCACTTTTTGGCCATCATAAATAATGCTGCTGTGAACACATATGTATATATATATTTTTATATAAAGGTGCGTGTTCACTTCCTTTGGATATATAACTAGCACTGGAATTGCTGGGTCATATAATAACTCGTTTGCCTGCTTTTTCTCCTCATAACGGGGCCTGCTTTCCTGCTTCGTTGCCTGAGGTACTAGGCAAAGAAGGTACTTTGAGATACCAGACTTTGTGAACTTCACCTAGTGGGGTGCTGGACATTTTTGTATTCTAATAAATATTCGTGAGCTTTATTCTTGGCTACAGTTCATTTACTTGGAAACAGTATGACTCTTTCAGGGCTTGCTTTTAAGGTTTGTTGGGCAGACCAGAGAAGTGCTCAGACGAGGGCTAAATCTTCCTCGCTGTTGAGGGAAGACCGTTCTGTGCACAGTGCCTGTGAGTCATAAGATTTCCTGTCTGGCCAGGGGGATGAGGCACTTTTCCCAGCCCAGAGCGTGGCACTAATCTAATCCTGCTGGACTGTTCTTTCTCGGGCCTCTGTTAATTTACTCACAGTATGTGCCAATCAGCACTTAGAGAAGCCTCAGAGCTGTAGATTTCTAGAATTGTCTCTGTGCAGCTTTCCTTTCTGATAGCCCATTCTGGAACTCTGTAGCCACCTAGGTATCCTTGACTCTCAGCCCCATGTCCTCCACTCAGGGCCTATGGGTCCACCTGCCCACCTTCTCCCTTCCCTGCAGCCCAGCTAAGCTTCTCTCTAGACCTGCAGCTGGGCTCACCTCCTTCACTTCCTCTCTGAGAGATTATTGCCCTTTGTTGTCTGGTATCTCGTATCTTCAAAATTACTGCTTCAGATTTTTGGTACAACTTTTTTTGGCAGGTGGTAAATCCATTCCTTGTTACCCCTCTGACCCAGAAGTCTGTTCTGATTTTTAACATTTCTTCCGCTTCAATGGTTATTTTTTTTTAATATCCCTTGATTAAATTAATTGTTGGCTTATCCGTTTTAATTTTTTTTTTTCAGAGAACCAAAATTTTGATTCATTAATCTGGCCTTGGGTTTTTCTCTTCTCTACTTCGTTGGTTCTGTAGGTGGAAGCCTCTTTGGCCTGCTGAGCAAGAATAATCGTTTTGGTAGAAATCCAGTTGTGTTGTTGGGCATCCTGGTGCATTTTGTAGCTTTTTATTTGATATTTCTCAATATGCCTGGGGATGCCCCTATTGCTCCTGTTGAAGGAACCGATAGCAGTGCTTACATCAAATCCAGGTATAGTGACTGTCATTTTTCTAGTAATTTAAAGAAGGGTGGGAGGTAATGGGTGGCTAGATATTCAGAATGGAGTCGTTAATCATTTTCTGAAAGTCTGTTCTCTCTATAAGGTCATCTGTCAAATGTTAAATGAATAAGCCAGAATTAGTTTAAGTAGGAGCTCATAGAGAATCCCAAGTTATTTTTGTAATTGTCGATTTTAACCTTTCAGCCCACTGAGTGTTTTTTCTTGATCTATGACAGAGCATAAAAGTATCTGATGTGATTTTATAGGTCTGCATTCTGAGCAGTGAAGAACAGTGAGGAGAGGGTAGGCCATCCCGTCCATTCACAGTTGGTTATGTCCGTTTTGAGGATCTTACTTTCTTGCACTCCACTCCAATTCATTATAGATGTAGACATTTATGTCCAGATCCACCATGCAAGGGCAGCCCTGCCCGAACCCATTGTCTGCTCCCAGATAGTTCATAGAGCAGAGTTTGCTCAGACTGTCACGGTGAGTGCGTTTGAGCATAAATTGTTACTCCATGGAGTCTGGTATTTCTTCTTGTTTCTTAGTGTTTATCACGTGTGAGTGAAATGCTCTCATGGGGGAGTTGCTTTTACATTTGAGACGGCTCTAACAAATATTGTTAAGAGTGCTCTCTTTCTAAGTTCATTTTCCTCTTCTGCAGCAAAGAAGTTGCCATCTTCTGCAGCTTCTTGTTGGGCCTTGGGGACAGCTGCTTCAATACTCAGCTGCTTAGTATCTTAGGGTTTCTCTACTCTGAAGACAGTGCGCCAGCCTTTGCAGTCTTCAAATTTGTGCAGGTACACCAACATTGTGTTCTTGATCGTTCCCAAATGAGAGTCGGGGCATCCTTTAAAGCGTTTCTGATTGGACTTCAGAAGCAGCGAGGGGTGTGATTTTCTTTCCCCTGCTGTGTAAGAGATTTTTCATTCTGGACTCAGTGCTCAGATTAGAGCCTTTCTAAGTACCAGAGTCCCTTCATCCTGTAGATAAGCAGGTTTCTGGCCGGGTGATGTTATTTCATTACCGAGTTTCTCACAAAATCCTATTTGATATATTTATTTTTAAAGATTTTATTTATTTGAGACAGAGAGCAAGTGGGCATGCATGACCTGGGGGCGGGGGTGGGCAGAGGGAGAAGCAGACTCCCCCTGCTGAACAGGGAGCCTGATGTGGGGCTCGATCCCAAGACCCTGAGATCAGGACCTGAGCCAAAGTCAGATGCTTAACTGACTGAGCCCCCCAGGCGCCCCACAATATACTGTTTTCAATACCAGATTGCCGCTTGCTTGATTGTTGCTGGCCTTTAAACGTTTGTGAGCTGGTGACTGACAGAGTTCCCTCTGGGCGGTGCCGAGGGTGGCAGGGCTCGCTGGGGCGTGGTGGGGTCCTCTGTGCACATCTTCTGACCTGTTTTGTTTCTTCTCAGTCCATCTGTGCGGCCGTGGCATTCTTCTACAGTAACTACCTTCTCCTTCACTGGCAACTCCTGGTCATGGTGATATTTGGGTTCTTTGGGACCATTTCGTTTTTCTCCGTGGAGTGGGCCGCCGCCGCCATCGTGGCCCGGGGCTCTGACTACCGAAGCATTTGACCCCGGGGCGCCCAAAAGGTGGGGCGCAGCTTCTGGTGGCCTGGCGGAGCGAAAACTCAGCTGAAGAAGCCACCTTTCCTTTCCGCGGAGTGTTGGATGTTGTTCAGGAAGGAAGATCAGAGAATTAAGACTGCTCAATCTGCCAGGGTTGGTGTTCAAGTTTACAGATATTATCTATTTAAAACAAGCAGAATAAGGGAAACTTGTTCTGTCAGTTATAATCGTTCAGAGATAATGTTTTTCGATTCCTATGTGTCGAGTTCCTTATAATCATGTTCTAGAGTGTAAATGTTTTCTTCACCCTCCTGTTCTCATTGAAAGATCCTGCCCTGATTCAGAACACTAGGCCGTATGGCAGATGAAGATCCTTGCTGGGCATGGGGTGTGTGCTACTATGTAGTAATAGGGAGCATATGCCCACCCCACGTATGTGTCTGTGAACGACATTTCAATAAATTGTGAGATGCCTTAGTGGAATCTTTGAAAAGGTTTGTACTTTTTTCCTTCTTTAACATTTTGGTTTGATGAGTTTTCCTACCTTGTCATTTGTAGCAAGGAGTAGCTAATTATTATAAAATGAGTTAAAAATTGTCTAATGTTTTAAAAATGAATCTAACATGTAAACGAACAAAAACTCTTTTAAAACAACAACAACACATATTTACCAGAGAGGATTTTTGCTAGTATTTTCCTAGAAGATGCAATGCAAAAAAAGGGGAAGGGGTACATGTAAGCTGTTGCATGGTTGCAGGTTGCTGTCTGTCACAGAGCAGACACCATTCCTCATGTGTGTCTGGGGATGCAGCATAACTGTCTGGGGGGATGTTTAAATGGACATGTTCACTTTCCTCTGTAGGAGCTTGCTTTACAAATTCTTTCTAATCGACATATAATTCAGAAACCATGAAATTCACCATTTTGAAGTGTACAATTTAATGTTTCTTCTTAAGTATATTCACAGGGTTGTACTGCCATCACCATGATCTAATTCTAGAACATTTTCATCACCCCAGAAAGAAACCCCTGCCTTTTAGCAGTCATCCCCCATTGTCTGGCCTGGCACTAGCAAGCACTACTCTGCTGTCTCTGGATTTGCCTATTTGGACATTTCTTATGAATGGGAGAGCTCACTTTTACCTAAGATATTTACCTGTACAAATGATGAGTTTTACAGCAAGGTAAATTCAGCCAGGAGGACAGCTAATACCTTGTTTTCTATTTTTTTTTAAACCTAATAGAAATTTGGAGATTTTTATAGTTGGCCTACAAATCTGAAGAAATTCGGTAGCATGTGATTTTCAGACTTGATGGCATGTATACTGCAGGGAGTCAGGAAACTGTAGTTATCTAGACTTCTTAGAGAAATTTAGTTTGTGTGGAACACCAAACTCTTGTTCCAGGTAGTATAAAGTTTTGGTTTTCTTTTTCAAAGTTGAGAGAGATAAACTCAGTTGTTTGTTGATCCTGTATAAATAATTTGTAAATGCTATTGCAGAATTAATACAAGTGGTTTTATTGTCTCTGTAAGCACGTGACTCCTTACCCAGGTGTATTTTCTATCATGGTATAACAGATGACCCCAAAACTTAGCTACTTTAAAATGACAAACACTCTCACAGTTCCATGAGTCAGGAATCAGTGTTACTAGGCTAGATCCTCGGGTTAGGATCTGTCCCAAAGCTGGGCTGGGCTCAACTGGGAAAGGACCCACTTCTCAACTCACTCTTGCAGTTGTTGGCAGGAGTCAGCTCCTCACAGGCTGCTGGTTAAGGATCTCCGTTTCTCGTGGCTGTTGGCCAAAGGCCACCCTCTGTTCCTTGTTACAGGGCAGCTCACGACATAGAAGCTGTCTTCATCAAACAAAGCAAGCAAGAAAAGCCAGAGAATGCTAGCAAGACAGAAGTCACAGTCTTTTGTAACTTAATCTCAAAAGTGACATCCCATCACTTTTGCTATTTTCTCTTTGTTAGATGCAAGTCACTAGTTCTGGATGGGATTACACAAGGGGTTAGCACCAGGAGTCAGGGATCCTCTCTGGACCATCTTACGAGGCTGCTTATCATACCAGGCTTAAACTCTCTTATATTTAAGCTCACAGTGGGGCCTGCATTCCCACATCACTCCTTCTCCTGGGCTCTTGCTCCATTTGCTCATAATGGATCTGCAAAACGAGGCTGGCAAGAGGTTAAGTAGCTTCTGTTAATGACACAGCATACTTTCCTCCAAGAAAGCTGTAGCATATTGTCTCCACTAGGAGGATTCCTGATAACTCTGTCAAGAAGGAAATGAAATAGGATGAGATTCATAGTCAAAAACATGACTGCATCCCACAGATACGTACAATCATACTCAAAGTTCTGTACTCACATTGTGTTTCCTGGAATTTTGGTTTTACTCAGGTTTTTTTTTTTTTATGTCTATAAATAGTGTCGATCTTGGCAGGATCCTTAGATGATGGGTAACAATAAGCTCATCTTTTAAGTTTTTTTCATATTTGAGTTAAAATGTGACAATGAAATAAAGTTTAATTTTTACACTTGTCTTGTATACTCTGTCAAATAATTTTATCTTCATATCTGTGTAAAGTAAAAGTATTAGCTTGCTTTCACACGGGGGTGTGTGTGCATAAATATGGGTGCACTGCTCTTTTTTTGGGGGCGTGCACTGCTCTATTAAATCGAAAATTTAATAAGGTATATATTGAAATTTGGTGGGACCTTGAACGACCTTGACTGAATCACAAATGTCTTCTCCACTAGCATGAAGAATTTTCCACACCCCAGAGTCTTCCCATACCCATACTTTTGACAACATAAAATAGCTCAGCCTCTATGGAAAACAGGGTGGTTACAGAAAAAACTAAAACTAGAATTTACTGTATGATCCAGCAGTTCCATTTTGGGGTATGTACCCAAAACTATTGGAAGCAGGAACTTAAAGGGATACTTGTACTATCACGTTAATAGCAGTATTATTTACAGTTGCCGAAAGGTGGCAACATCCCAGGTGCCCATCGGCAGATGAGTGAATAAACAAAATTGGTCTGTTCACGCAGTGGAGTATTATCTAGTCATGCAAAGGTGTGAAGCGCTGACACCTACAGCACGGATGCACCTTGAGAACCCCAGGCTAAGTGAGACATGCCTGTCACAAAAGATAAATACTGTATAATTCCATGTGCGTCAAATACCTAAAACAGGGATCCCTGGGTGGCGCAGCGGTTTGGCGCCTGCCTTTGGCCCAGGGCGCGATCCCGGAGACCCGGGATCGAATCCCACGTCGGGCTCCCGGTGCATGGAGCCTGCTTCTCCCTCTGCCTGTGTCTCTGCCTCTCTCTCTCTCTCTCTCTCTCTCTCTCTCTCTGTGACTATCATAAAGAAATAAAAAATTTAAAAAAAAAAACCTAAAACAGTCAAATGCATAGAGACAGAAAGAATAGTAGTTGCCAGGGCCTGGGTGGGTAGAGGAACAAGGAAATGTGTTTAACGGTGTTAGAAAACCATAGGCCCAAAATGGTGTCACTTAAGCCAAGTCACCAAATCTGGACTTAGTACCTAAGTTCCTTGTAGTGTCGTCTGAACGGTCAGGAATTTTCTGATAAGCATCAGTGAGGTGATCCATTACGTGGGCCTTCTCCAAACCACAGAAGAAGATAAGGGAATCTGCGTGGTAAGACCCCCTGCCCCTCCGTTAAGGGAAGGTGATCTTGCCTCAAACAGTCCTTTCCTTTTTTTTTTTTCTCTAACAACTTTCTTTTCCTACCCTCCTTCCTATACAAATCTTCCTTTGTGCAACTCTCTACTTGGTATGGCGACAAGATGCTGCTTGATTCGTGCATCTCTTAATAAAGCCAAGTGGATCTTCAAATTTACTCCAGTTGAATTTTGGTTTTGGTTTTGTTTTTGTTTTTTTTTTTGACAATGTGTATAGCGTGTCCTCTGGGGAAGGTAAGAGTTCTGTGTTTGGACAGTGGTGATGGTTGCACAATGTGAATGTACTTAATGCCGCTGAACTATGCACGTCAAAATAGTTAACATGGTACATTTTATGTGTGTGTGTAGTTTTTAAAAAAGATTTATTTATTTATTTATGATAGACATAGAGAGAGTCAGACACAGGAGGAGGGAGAAGCAGGCTCCATGCCGGGAACCTGACATGGGACTCGATCCCGGGACTCCAGGATCGCGCCCTGGGCCAAAGGCAGGCGCCAAACTGCTGAGCTACCCAGGGATCCCCTTATGTGTGTTTTACTACAATTAAAAATAATGAAAAACTGAGGGGAACTGCATAAGTGCTTATGTTTTGGAGGACCCCAGGGCCACCCCTAAATTGGAAGATTTACTGGAAGGAATTACGGGATTTAGCTTATCAGTGTACCCATGGCTCAGGTTAATTATGGTGACATGGTAAGGATGGATCACGGGACAAAGAGCCAGGCAGACTCTGGAGGAATCCAGGCACAGGCTTCCTTACACTCTCCTTCCCCTTGTAGCAGGGTGCAGGGGTGCACGAGCACCTGGCCCTGGGGGGTCCCAAGCAGACCAGGCTCAGCCTCTTGCCACTCACTGACAAAACCCAAAGCCAGAGCAATGAGTGGTGGGGAAACAAGAAAGGAATTTATTCCAATGAGGCCTCCCCCACATGAAGACAACGTCTCAAAGACTGTGCCCGAAGTGCTGAAAACACTTCTAGGTTTATATAAGGATGGTGTAGGACAAAGGTGGGTGGGGACGTGCAGGTGGGCGGTGAAGGTCAGGTTGATCCTTGTCTTGGGGTCAGTCTAGGGAGGTCTTGCTGGCTCAGGGCAGGTAGTTCCAGTTCCTCTGTGGGATGCTTTGCCCACAGGGCCTTTAGCCTGAGTTAGATGAGCTGGAGAGGAGAACTTAATTAGAAAGTACAGAATAAAGTCAGAATGGAGGTGGCTGATGCCCTCTTTCCCCCTGAGGGAACGCAAAGAGCTCCCTCTTCCAGCAGCAAGAACGTGTGCAGTGTTCCTGCCCCGGAGCCCACCAGGGACACAGCCCCCCAGGTTTCCACTGGGTGCAGGTCACACGGGCTCTCTCTGCCTGGCACATCTGGAGATGCCAGACCCTCAGAGAGACCACATGGTTTGCCCCAATGGGGCACAGGGAGCCGCCCTTACCAGTTAACCGGTGGCTAGAAATGCTCCGAGAGCCTGCGTGCAAGTCTGCAGGTGGCCTTCCAGGGACAGTGGTCTCAGGCCTGCTGTGCTAATCCTGTCACGTGTAAGCCCAAAGCAGTGTTCAGAAGGGTCTTATACACAGGGTTGGGATAGTTTTTCTTCCTCACTAATGATAGAGGAAAGCCTACAGTGGGAAAGGTCTTGAAATGAACTGGCCCCCTGGTTTAATGTCAGACGTTTCTTTTAGGGTCACAATGCTTAGAATCGCTCTGCCTTGCTTGTACTTGAGAAGTAACTATACGCCTGACTTTAATAGGTGGGACTCTCCAATTTC